AAGATTGCAAAATTTATAATCATTTGATATTTTTTTATATCCTTTTGATTTATTAATACAGATTTGTATATATTTCTAAGTTTTCTTGATGTAATTCATCAATTGAATGGACAATGGCAGCAATACCCTCATTAGGATCTCCATGTCTTATTTGACTAAAGAAGTAAATGAAATTATAAATACTAACATAAAGTAGGCATTGCAATTCTTGTTAATCTTCGCTTTTCTACATCTGTTAATTGAAATTTTATTTTAAATGTATCATCATCACTTGATTTAAAAATGTTGTTAACTTTTTTTTCATTTGCTCTATTCAATCCAGGCTCATCACTCTTTTGTTTTTCCTTACCCATCCTTCTCACCAATAAATTGTCTCTTGTCATTTCTATTGCATCCATCAATCTATTAACATTTCTATCACTCCATAAATCTACAACCCCCATTGAGCCATCATTAGCCAATTCACCAAAAGCATCATGTACTTATTTTATTAATGGTTATAAATAATAGTTGTTCTTTTTTTCATGCATTCTAAATCCGAATTTTAAGAAAGTTAATTTTTTTGTTTTCGATTTGTTATTAACCTTTCCATATGTTTCATCTCTTTTTTATTATATTTCAGTTTTAGGAATTATATATTAAGGTTTATGAAGCCATTTTCCTCTTATATGGCCTAAAGCAAATTAATTTTTAACATTCTCTTATAAAATATCAAAATTAGGTAGCAGAGATGGTTCTGTTTTAGTTCTTTTGCCTTAAAAAGTTCTATGACTTGAGCTGACTTATCCTCTACTTTGTAAATTATCTCTCTAAGTATTCATCAATTTATAATTAATAGTAATAATTAAATCAATTCAATATTGTCTTCTGTCCATTAAGATATTACTTAAATATGTTTTTGTTTATCTTAGTTCATCAATTTATTATAAATACTAATAATTTTAGTATTTAAAATATTATGTTTCATTTCTTAATTGTTCACATTCATTTCTTAATTGAACACACTCTTCTTCTAAATTAATTTGATCTTAAATTTAATGATTCTCTTATGTCTATTTAATCTAATCTCTTAAACCTATACATTCCAATTAAACCTTTTGAAACATATTCTTTTCAACATTCAAAATTTATTGTAATTCAAAAATCTATTTCTTTAATTCATTTTATTCTAATTACATAATTTCATTCTAATTAATTATTTTTTAATATTCCCCATCCTTATTTTGATATTAAAGTTACAACTATTCTTTCAATAAAATTTCACTTTCTAATTCTTATCTTATCTCAATTATTTTATCTTAAAGTCTCTTTATTTGATTATTCAATTATTTAAATTCATTTTCATTTTCACTTTTAACTTATTTATTATTATTTTTCACATCTTTCAATAAATTTTATTACTCAATCAATTATTACTTTAATTACTTAAGTTACTAATCTTTCTCTTCTAATTATCCTTCATAAGTTTTGACAATGACATTTAATTTATCATATTTATTTTCTAAATCTATTAAAACTTAATTCTTATATTCTATTCTCTTAGTCAATGAATGAAACTATATACAAAATAATAAAATAAGCATACTTCAGTTTAATTTCCTTATTATTACTATTTATAATTATTATATTCTTATTCTAATGATTCATACATTTTTGATATTTTTTTCATTTAAAAAGATTACTCATTAAATTTTTTATCTATTTTCTCAATATCATTAATAAGATCATTGTTTTTCTTCATTAATGAATCAATTAATTTATCTTTTTTAGCATTTTCAAAATTAAAACTTTCATTTTATTAAGATAAATTCTTTATAATTGTTTCCTATTTTAATAAAGTACCTTTAAACATATCCTCACATTCTTTTAAAGTTTACATTACATTATTCAATTCATTATTTGATTCAAATAATTATTTCTATAAATTTTATTTCTCTTACTTTAGAATTTAATCATCTTTATTTAATTGTTTATTTATATCTGTTAAGACTTACATCTTTTAATTAGTTTCATTCATCAATTATTTTAATAAAGTATTATTTTTATTTAATTCATCTATTCTCTTTTATTATTAAATCATTATTTCATTCAATTCTTCTAATTAAGTAATCAATTTCTTTATTTTTTAATCACTCTAATCTACATCTTTGTTTTATGCATTTATTAATTATTTATGTTATTTCTCCAATGCCACATAAGCTAAAGATAGACGTTCTATCTCAGTTGAAACAAGTACAAAATTCTTCATCACTGTCCATTTTTCTATCAATGAATCTTGTCTTACTAATTCTTAAAGATTTGTTTCTAATTCAATTAAATTCTTTCGTAATTTAGCATTTTCTTCTAACAGATTTACTTAATTATTATTTTACATTTTTTGAATTAAAAATTAATTATTTATGTTTATTCTTCGATTAGGATTATTACATTATTCATATTTGGAATATGAGAATTATGTTTTACAGTGATTACAGTGAAGTTCTAAATTATTAATTTCTTTACCAATTTTATATAATAATGCAATTAAAAACAAAGCTATTGTTGACTTAATTGGTGTTATAAAATTTAATTACTCTGATTTAAGAAGGGAATTAAGAATCTAAAGATGTCATATCTATTACTCAAAATTCAATAGGATTGTTATTAAATTTGATCATTTTTTGTTTAGAATATGCTAAACAAAAACAAGACTTCATTAACATTTTGATTCAAATCAATATTATTGTTGAATTAGAGACTGTCTTTTATAACCCAGAAAACATAATAAATTACTTCTCTTTAATCTACTTATTGATTATAGAAGATGTATTGAAAAAACAGCATAAATGTTATTAATTTTTTACTCACACAATTTGCATCTATGTATCTATTAGACTTGGTGCTTAATTCTATGAGAAATTTGCAACATAAGATTTTGTTTTATTCGTTCTTTGGTAACCACTTAATCATCTAATATTTTATAAAGACAATTAAGCAAATGAAATTAGAAAGCCAAGTCCTACTTCTTTATCATAAAGACAACCAAATCATAATCCTCATTTTAGCTACGCAGAATAAATTCAATAAAATCTAATAGATGAGAAATCACCATAAGTAGAAAAAAACATTAATGTTGCACTTGATGAAGATCTTCTCAATTGTCTTCCTTATGGATTGGTTTTGATAGATTCAAATCTTTAAGTAATAAAGCATAATGAAAAAATAATGAGTTATTTGATGATTAGTGAATCTGATTAAATCATGAATCATTTAGATTAATTACTATCCAAGTAAAATTATTTAAAACTATTTCAGCGCTGAATTGAATTAAGTCAAAACTACTCCCCATGCAAAACATAAACCTCATATTGTTCCCTTAAGAAAATTGAAATAAAATTCAGCTAGTCATAATTAATGTAATACTGGCATTAAATCTAATAAAACTAATTGGTTATCTGATAGATTAAAAATGAATATTTAGAATAAAGGTTCATTTTAATCTAGCATACATGATGCAGTAAATTATACATATGTTTAATTTGTAATGAATGAATTTTTAACTAAAAGTCATAGATAACTTAATCCTTAAGATAATTAATCTATTGCCTCTGATTAGACTCATATGTTTAAGTTTCATGTAGTTAAAGATTTCATAGTAAAAAAGAAACATTTTTAAATAAAAGTATATGAGGTAAAATTATAAACAAAAACAAAAGACCCTGTTTTTTTATTCATAATTGAAAATATTACAAATAAGGAAGAATTAAAAGAATTAACTCATCGATATAAATTTCAATAAGCTTTATTAAATTCTTTTAGTCATGAATTGAGAACACCATTAAATAGTTCCTTACCTTTGTTATAAATTTTAAGTAAAAAAATTGATGAAACTCTTAATGACAACTATTTATAATTAGCAATAATCTCTTGTCGTAGATTACTTTTTTAAATAAATGACATTTTAGATTATGCTTAAATAGAATGTGAAGATTTTAAATTAAATTTAAACAATTTTTATGCAAGTGAAATTTTTGATGATTTGAAAGGATTATTTTAATAAGAATGCTCTTAAAAATAAATTGAATTAATATTAAATTTTAATGATCAAATAATAATACATAGTGATAAATTAAGAATAACTTAAATTTTAGTAAATTTAATGAATAATTCAATTAAATTTACAAAATAAGGAGGTAGGATTGTATTGTCATTAAAAAAAAGAGAATCTTAATGCACATTCTCAGTGTGGGATAATGGTGAAGGAATATCTAGTGAATAGATGTTAGCTCTATAAAATTAATTTGTTTAATAATCTAAAGGATCAATTAAAATGGGATTAGGTTTAAGAGTTTCAAAAGGTATTGTAAAATTTTTAGGTGGAGATGGTGAATTATAAATAAAAAGTGAAAAAGGATTTTATACAGTTGTTAGTTTTTCAATAGAGGAGTCTGTCAGTACAATAGTGAAAGAAGAAGAATCTTCAATTAGAGATGTAGATGATTTAGGATCAGATTCTAAGAATTCAGCATAAAGAGTATATATTTCATCAAGATAATTTTTGAATCATTGTTAATGCATTTAAATATTGATAGTAGATGATGTACCTTTTAATCATATTACTTTATTGGCATTATTATAAACTTATGGATATAAAGCAGATAGTGCATATGATGGAGATTCTGCAATTAGGAAAGTGAAATAGAAATAATAAAATAGTTGTTGTAAAGTGTACAAAATAATATTTATGGATATAGAAATGCCAGGAAAAAATGGATTTACTACTAGTAGTGAAGTATTAAATAATAAATTAATTAGAGATCTCTAAATTAATGAAAAATGAAAGATAAAAATCCATAATTGTTATGTGTTCAGCTTATAATGGTTAAGAAAATGCAGAATTAGCTCATTAGAGTGGAATGGATGAAATTATTTCGAAACCTATTTCGTTAGATTCTTTATAAACACTTTTAGTGAAATACTTTTGTTGAATTTTTTTTGAACTTTTTTAATTTATTATGTAATCATATTCCATTGAATTCTACAACCATTGGTTTAATAAGTTTATTAAGATTTGTCTAATGAAATGGGTTGAAATTAGAAGCTCTATATAATCCATAAATCTTTTCGAAAATTGCTAATAAGTTTAATTTTTCTGTCCCTTACTTTATAAATATGATCATTTTCAATTATGTTATTGTTATATATGCATGCACATCATAATCATTATTTGGTAAATAGATTGTATACAATACACCTAAATATGGTTCTGTTGATGTTCCTCCATTTAATTTCTTTTATAATGCAGGACTTATTAATTATAAAGCTGTATAGGTTTGAAATTTGAAATGCACTTGATCCTCATTATTGATATAATAATCAATGAAACTGAGTTTATCTTATTAATCTATTATAGCTATACAAGCAATAGACATTTTAAATTAATATTATATGATAATTGAGACAATATACATATGGATAATCTGGTTGATATTAAAAATACCACAATTAGAAATTAAAGAGACTATTGATGCTGAAGTTTATGATGAATTTGCAATTACTAATGCCAAATATAAATATTCATTATACCATTCATTTTTTGATAATATAGAAACAAAATAATAATCATAATTTAAAGTGACACAATCACAAAATTATTTGATTGTAGATAATTCAACCATTATTGAATATAATAAAGAATGTATGCATTCATAGAGTATGAGATTTTAGAATATAATAAATAAATAATGAGGATTAAAGTGTTTGCCAATTAAAGAGAAATCATACATACATGAAAGAATTACTATTAAATTTTTCAGTAATCAACTTTTCTAATTGTTCAATCTCATATATTAATGAATAAAATAGAATTAGAAATAATGATATAAAATTGTCATTTACTTAATGTAAAGATATGAAAGTGATTGATTAATTCAATTATTTTTAAAAAGGATAACTAATTATTATAAGCTGTAGAATATTGACAGAAGTAAAATTAAAAATTCTTTATTTAAAAAATAATCAAGAAGATATGATTTAACTTTATGAATATCAAATATCTATAAAAGAATTGGCAAATATATATATTCGATATTAAGCACATTCATCCAATAAATTTATTTTTATTATAAATTCTAAATTGATGTACTTTACATCTAATTAAATTTATTTTTATAAAATAGATTAAGTTGATGAAATCTAATTTTCAGAAGATGGTACATAAATTTATGCTGTAAAATTAACTCTTATTATCAATAGATGAGAAAAAGTGTTATTTATTATTTAAAATTGTAAAATCCTAAAGTACAATTAATTGAGTTGATTGAATAATAGAACAAAATCAAAAATAATAAAATTTTAGCATATAAATGTTGGAATTAAGGAATTTTACTATTAACAGATAAAGGATAATTGAAGTATCTTGAAGTAGATAATAATGAATAAATTCATAAAATTACAATATATGATGGATTTGGAGTTATTATGATTATGATAGCATTATTTTCAATTAAAGTAAATTATTTTTGATAAATTGATATAAATTCATGAATTTTTTAATTTAAAATTAATTTTAAGAATAAAGAGTGGTATATTATGAAATAGAAAAATAAGAAACCAATATCTGATCTTTTGAAGCAAAAAAGAATAGCTGAACAATAATCATAACTTACATAATAACCCCCTTCACCTCCATCTCGATCATCTTCATCATGTTCATCTAAAACATCTGATAATCCTTATGAATCTAGTAGTGATGCTGAGGATTATGAGGATTATAAAAAAGATGGTTATCATCCTGTTAGTATTGGTGATAAATTTCATAATGGAAGATTTTAAGTGATTCAAAAATTAGGATGGGGACATTTTTCAACTGTTTGGTTAGCACATGATAAATAATCTGAAACACATGTTGCATTAAAAATATAGAAAAGTAAATAAAGTTATCAAGAAAGTGCAATTGATGAATTAGAACTCTTAAAGTATATTATATACAAATTAATATAGGGATTTATAGAACCATTTAAAAGATGAAAAATGGATTTAGTATTAAGAATAATTGTCATAGATTCCAAAATTAGATTATACAACATTAAAATGGTATGATCCAAATATAAAAAATACAGAATAAGATATAGAAATTAAAGTTAAATTGAATGAAACATATTGTGTAGAAATGGTTGATAATTTTATTCATTATGGAATGCATGGAAAACATTATTGTACAGTTTTTGAAGTCTTAGGACCATCATTATTAGATTTAATTATACATTTTGATGATTATGATAAAAGAATGGGTATGTGGTTAGTCAAATAAATAACAAGAGAACTATTAATTGGATTAGTGTATATGCATGAAGTATGTAATATCATTCACACTGATTTAAAACCAGAAAATATTATGCTTTAATTGAAACCATCAAATTTTGGTGAATTTGTAGAATAAATGAAAATGGTTAAAAAGAAACCAATTAGTATGAAATTTTTAGAAAAATTAAAAAAATCAATGAAAACAACAAACAAAAAATAAGAAAAAAGAAAAAAACAAAAATAAAAGAAACTATAATAATAATAAGAAAAAGATTAATAGTAATAATAATAAGAAAAAGATTAGTAATAATAATCATAATAATAATAATCATAATAATAATAATAATAATAATAATAATAATAATAATAATAATAATAATAATAAATTGAATTACCTAAATAATAATTGGAAAATATAAATTAAGAAATAAGTACAAATAATATTACAATATAAGAAAGTGTTGTAGATGATTAAAAATAATAATAAGAAATAGTTTAAGTAAATGTAGAATAAAATCAAATAAATAATTAAGCAGATCAAACTGTTACTGTTACAGATGAAGATACTCAATAAATATAAAATATTGAGAAAAGTCAAAGCTTAATCGAATAATCAGCTATTTGTGATAAAAATGATTAAGAATAATAATAAAAAGAAGAAACACATCATATTCATAAACATAGAAATTTATAAAAAGAGAAAGAAAAAGCTATAAAGGATAAAAAGAAAAGTCATAGTGGGGAAGAAGAAAATTCATCTGATGAGGACGATTAAGATTGGAAATCAGAAGATTAAAGTGAAGAATCAGAATCAGAATCAAATGAAATAGATGAAGAGACCTTATATACTTTAAAGTATTATAAATTTATTTATAATTAGATGGAAAGAGCATATAAAAATAAAATTAGATAGAGATTTGTCAATTAAAATTGTTGATTTTGGAAATGCTTGTTGGACCCATAAACACTTTACTGATAATATATAAACTAGAGAATATAGAGCACCTGAAGCCATTTTAGGAATTGAATATGATACAAGTACAGATATTTGGAGTACAGCTTGTATTGTTTTTGAATTACTTACTAATGATTATTTATTCAAACCTAGAAAAGGAAAAGGATTTAAGAAATCAGAAGATCATTTAGCTTAAATGATGGAAGTTTTAGGGAAAATGAATAAAAAATGGGCATTAAGTGGTTCTAATAGTAGAGAATTCTTTAATAAGACAGGTTAATTAATTAATATTAAAGTATATAAGTTAAATTTATTTAGGATTTACATCCAACATCTATTAGTAAAATCTTAATGACTGATTATGGTTTTTCATATTATGATGCAAATTAAATTGAAGATTTCTTAGTGCCCATGTTAGCATTTGAACCAAAGAAAAGAATTACAGCTAGATAAGCATTATAGCATCCTTGGCTTTGGTCTAAATGATCTATTATATGTGATATATTTTATAGAAAATTACACTAAATAATTAATGAATCATTATTTATTTTTCATAATGAATAATAAATTAATTAAAATTTAAATCTTCATTTCGTCATACATTTTATAATTATTATATCAACAATTACTTTCAAGTTTTATCCTTCATATTAAAATACAAATCAACAATTGACTTATAATTTTTTTGTTTTTCTTAACCTGTCAAAAATTGGAGTTTATTATTTACATTGATCATAAATTTGGAGAAAATTTTAAAGTGAAAAAAGAATGAGAAAAGTAATAGATTTAAATAAAAATAAAATGATCATTAAAGAACTGATTGGTATCGATATTAATCCCATTGGTTAGTTAGATAATCTTAATACTAAAATTATATTTGGATAGTACAAATTCTGAATCTATGTGATTGAATGTAGCCTATGAGATAGAATGAATAGTATAGTTATTTATAATCATGCTATTAGTATATTGTTGACATCTAGAATCACTAAAATAAAAATAAAAATCTACTTAAATATTCTTTTGATTTCATTTTAGAAACCTATTTCTGATTCCTCTGTAAATAAAGGTTCTTCATTGATGGTTGGATTTTCATTTAATTTCCAAACTTTATTGTCTAGTGGAAATTGCTTTGATGGTTTATTCTCAAATATAAATTAAGATTTTTTCATTAATTAAAATAATATATATATATAAATTATATATAATAAAATCAAGTAGCCAATTCATCTACCAAAGATTTTGTTCGTCTCTCATCATTCTTTTAAGTTTCAACATTCTCCTCTGACTTCTTTGTTGGAGCTGTTACAACCAATAAACAACCAGCAAAACAGGATATTGATGGTACAAGTACAGTCAACCAACGAACCAAATTTTCATCATCAAGTACACTTCCATATGAACAAAAAAATAAGGCTATTCCAGAAGAAATCTTATCTAGAAAACTATATGCTCCAAAAACAAAAGCACCACTTGATCCTTTTAAACCAATGACATCACTAATCAGTGTAATACCTGTATTTAAAGTAATAGCTTGTGCTATTCCAATGAATGGAGATACTGCATACATAAAGTAAGAATTCTTTTCATTTAGGAATATCAAAGTAGAAGATGATAGTAAACATAATATTGTTCCAACTCTATTTAATATTAATAATGATTACGTCAATGTAACTTTTTTGCCTAAAACTTAATAGAATTTTGATAAGGAAGCACTAGTTAAAACACTCATAATATAGAGAGAAAGAGGAATCAATGCTACTTAAATAGGGACTTTGACTTCTTCTGAATCTGGATCTGTAAATTTTAAAACACTTGCAATGTAAAATGAGATCATAGTTGATGATACATTACAATATAATCTAAAGAACATATAAACCATTCCAAATCTGTAAAATGCCATTTATTTAAACCATTCTCTATAAAATATAAACAAATAAATTACTTCCAATCATGTACATCTTCAGACATAGATCCTCGATTAGCTTTTTATTTATGTAAACCTTCTCCTTCATCATCTGTAAATTCAACATCTGTTAATTTGACATTTCCTGATCCATCTATTTGTGATTCAGATGTTGATTTTTATAAATCATCACTAGACAATGTGTTTTTTTATTCATCTTGAACTTAATTTTTTGCAATCTTTTAGTCTTAAGCAACTTTTGTAGGATTGCTAAGTCCATTTTATCTCTATTTTAATTATCAATATAATATTATACATCTTTCAAAATTCTTAATAAAATTCTTGCATATTTAGTACAATCAGAGGTTAATTTAGGTTCATTTATTTGAATTATAAAATAAACTGATGTTGCTGTCCCTATGGTAACACATATTAATGATAAATATTGAAAAGCTTATGCTGAATCTGTACCATCGGTACTGTTTGCCAATTAAAAAAATATTAACTTAAATTAATTAATTGATTACTGCCGTCACATACACTATTAATACGGCTATGAATTAAAATGTATTTCTTATGGAATTTAATTTATCTCTTCTGGATCGACTACATGTTAAACTTGGTACCAAAGACATATGACTAATTTGTAATGAGGCCCAACCAAAATTAAAAATTGCAGGAAATACAGTATAATAAATAGCCTTTAATTAATTTGAATTGATTACTTATACTACTGTGTTATCTTTCACATTCATCCAATCTAATATTAAATTTCCATTCCAAACTGGCAAAAATGAAAAGATTATTACAAAATATCCCCTAATAATATTTACATTATATATACCCAATGTACCATGGAATTCTCTTTCCTATTGATGTTTTTGTTCTATCACTATAATATCCAACAAGTGGAGTTGCTAATGCATCAGCTACTTATCCTGACAACATTGCATATGAACCAAAATCAACTTGTATTATTCTCTTCAAATAAAATAACAGATAGCTATGATAATTTAGGAATTGAATACTTGAACCAACATGCAGCAGATAAATCATTAAGCATATGACCCATACAATATGCCCAAAATTATGATGTTGTTAAACTATCAAATTTGTATTTCTTATAGCCAATTTCTTTTTCATTGACTTAACTAGCCTTATTCCATTCCATTAAAGAATTGGTCTGGCTATTATCTGATTGGATAAGTCTATCTGATGACATTACAAATATATTAAATTATTTCCAATTTTTGTTTTATATAGGAATATATCAAGTATTACATCATAAAATATGTAATAATATGTAAAATATTAAAATTTATGTGTTAATCGTAAATATAATACTATTTTAATGATTAAATTTTTGTGGAATGTATATTTTTACTTATACCTTAATTAAAATAACTTATAGTTGTAAATATTATGGATCAAATAAGCTCATATCTTTGATATTTTAAAAAATCATAATAAATAATGAATCATTATAATATAGTCTATGACTGTTAACTAAATTGATTGGTAAAGGATCAATCTTTTAAAATTATTAATTCCATATATTCTTATTATTAAAAAATGAAATTAAACCCATAAAAGGAGAATTAATAAATAAACAAAAATACTTTTCAATTATAATATATTTACCATTTTGACTTGATATAAATATATTTACATGATAGATTAATAATAAATAAACTGATATAATTACTATTTTGTGTTGTGTTAATTAATTTAACATACAAAAATTATAGATAAATGAAAATTTCATGCACCTTTAAAGAATCTTAGACCATCTCTACCTCCCCACCAACCTCTTACCATGATCTACCAATATGCTATTGGAAAGAAATCTTTTTTTAAATGAAACATTAATCGACTTTCATTTGATTAAAATATTGGAAAAGTCTCATCAAGTTCTGAATTATATTTAAACTCTGCCAGTAATAATTTAGTCTAACTTGTAAATATTGGACATGAAGTATATCCTAAAAATAATATTTCAATAATAACCTAAATATCCTGGAATAGGATCTAATTTATATTTCCAAGTTCTTATTAAATTTTTCACTAAAACTGGTGTTTAAGCCATAACAGCTGCAGCTGTCTTAGAAGTTGGAAGAGAAGAACAATCTCCAAGTGACCATATATTTTTATAAGTTACATGTTACAATGTATTTGGATTGACATGTGCAAATCCAGCTGAATCTCCTAAACCACTTTTTGCTATAAATTAAGCAGGAAACTTATTTATTAATTTTTTATACTTAAGGTGGAACTAAATGTAATAAATCAAATGTGACAGATTTAAGTTCTTTTGTATCTTAATTTTCAAATATGGCTATATGATCTTAAACTTCTACTAATTTCTATTTAAAATGACAATTTATTTATTTATTTTTGCATAATTCTGTTAGTATTTCAGCATATTTGGGAACACCAAAAATAACTCCAGCTGTCTTATAAAAATGATGATGAGTTTTTTTTCCTCTTTTATTTAAACGATCATGTGAAAGATATATAATTTTTTAAGGAGCTCCTGCACATTTAATTGGTAAAGGAGGTTCAGTATATACGATATTTCCTCCTTCAAATTCCTCTACAAGTCTATTCATTTTTACAGCATATTTATAATTATAGATTGAAGCAACAGGAGAATTCAAATCATCTAAATATTTTTGAGCACCTATTGATGATTAGAAATAAATATATATACCTTTTATTTAATCAAAATTAGTTTATATTCCAGTTGCAATAACTAATTAATCATATGTATATATCCCTCCATCCTATGTTTCTATTTCATTTTGTTAAGGATTTATTTTAGTCACAGCACTATCAGAAACTGAAATATTCTTGGGTAAAACTTAATCCATTGGTTTCAATGTCTTTTTTACATTACACAATCCACCACCTTAATTTGAAAAAATTCAATTACCAACCATTGTCCATCCTGGTTAATAAGCATGCATCTTAGATGGTTCAAAAATTCTAATTTACTATGGAATAGCATGCCCATCACCTATTAATTGAGCTGCAATATTTAATCCTGCAGTTCCACCACCTATTATAGCAATTTATGAATGGATTTTTATTGCAGAAAATGCAAATCCTCTAAAGCAATTAATTTTTTGCATCTATAGAATATATTAATATCTTAATATACTTTACTTGAATATATAGAATTATATGTATCTTATAATAATTAAAAATGATTTATATTTTATTTTATATTAATATTTTGTAATGCATCATCAATTAAAATTAACAATTGGTTTGCTCAATTATATAATTAATTGCAAGTTTGCATTATTAATTATTTCTTATTTAAAATTAAATTATTCATATTGTTCATTAAAATATTTTCAAAATGTTGAATAATTGTATATTATACTAATTCTTCTTAATTTAATATATTTTGTTGAGGGATATGTATAATAAATTATTAACGGAAATTAATATATTTATATGCTTAATTATGAATAATAATATGTGTTATTATTAATATATAAATATATTTAAGTATATTAATAACACTAATTAATATGTCTATATATGATGAATTTCATTTGAATATCAAACTCTATATTACTTTATTCTAATAAAAAATTTATTATAATAAATATTATTAAAATTAATAATAAAGTTATGAATAAGGTTAATTTATTTTATTACTTCAGTATGCTATAGATTTTCTATTAATCCTCTAAAAAGTCTTTATTCTTTTAATTTATTATTTTTTTTTGTTAAATTGAAAATAAATTAATTTAAAGTCATTTATATATTGTTGTATAACACTAACACTTAACTTTTGTTAAATTATCGTGTATTAATATTAATATAGTATATGTAATCATTATTATTTCTTTAATTAATTAAGACATTATAAAATATTTATAATAGTAAGAAATTGAACAATAATAAATAGATATTTAGATGTATATTGGAATTTAAATTTAAGATTCTATATTAATTTTACTTAAAAAGTAAGTTCAGAAATTTAGATTAAAATAATAAATAATATTATGAATCCTTAAATGATATAATATCATAGTTGTTAATCATTAATTTTTCTATAGCAATTTCGAATAAAAAGAGGTATAAATAAAATTGCATAAAGAATGAAGATTGAACAAATGATGGAAAAGGCTATGATTGGTCCACAACAACAAAAGAAATAAGGTGCTTTACCTTTATCAATTTTGTTAATTTTATTATCAACATAATCTCCAACCATTTTACTTACTTACATAAATTAAAATCCAGGTAACCATATTATAATTATTAAGATTTTGCATAATATTCTAAAAAATTTAGGTATGTAGAAACATTTCTTAAATAATCTCTTAGTAAATATCTTGCATTTATTCTTTTTAGAATAAACTATAGATTTGCATGTTTAACAATAACTTAGATATTGTTTATCGAAATAATATTGATTCATTTATGGAAACAAAACAATATGTGCAGATTTACAAAGAATACAGAATTCAGTATTACATATTTGACATTACTAAATTTTGGTTTCTTGAATATGATTTTATTAATTTAAACATGATCTAGGTTGACATAAAACTCTACATTTTGGACATTTTAAAACTAAATTATTTTGACAATATATTTAAAATTAGTTTATAGCTAATTAATTACAGTATAATTTATGTTTATGTAAAGACCCTTTAACTTAGGTATGACATGTATTACAAATCTTTGTTTTACATGATAAACATTACATTACATTCTCATTCATTTTTATAAGGTTTAAAGGTTAAAGTTTGAAATAAGGATTAATTTAAAGTTATGAACAACAACTCTTTTTTATACAAAATAAATCACTATTTATTATTTTCCAATATTTAACCTATGCAAGTGATATAAATTAAGCTATGAGATAATGATTTAATTCTTGATTACAAAGTTATTCAGGACAAGGAATCCTATATGTCTATGAATAATAATGCTAAATATATGTATCAATGCAATCAATACAGAAATAATGTTCATTCATACAAACTTTGCAGCATATTTTCTAAATGCAACAGATCATGCATTCTTTAATTTTTAGATTATAAAATTTAGCTTATGAATCTAATTTGAATAATACTTTGGAACAATAAGGAATATCAGTTATTGGGAGATGCCAACAAACTCCTAGTAATTGCTTGTCATTATCATTATTGTTTATAATATTATGACAATTCAAACATACTTAGATTACTATTTCTACACATTAAATTGCAAATAGTTCATCTGTAATTCCATTACATAAATTACATTGATAGCAATGTTATTTAAATTCTGATTAATATTAAAGTCTTTAAGTCTATAATAAATTGAAGTCTTAATCCATTTTAGAATATTTAATAAGAAAATACTGTAATTCTTTATCTATTTTATATAATAAAATTTCTAATATATTTTATAGGTATAATATTCTGATCAAATTTAAGAATAAACAATTTATTCAGTTTTCATTTTAAATGAGTTTTCAATAAAATTATTTATATATATTTAATATAATTTATTAAAATAAGAGATAAAGCTTTAGAATACAAAAATAAAATAAAATAATAATCAACTTTATTTGGAAAAACAAGGTAGTACAACTGGTTTGGCTAATTTCATAGCTTTACGTTTATTTAAATATCTTAAAGGTATAAATCCAAGTCTCATGTAAAATCTAAAAAAAGTAAAATAATTTACCTTGTTACATGGATACAATCTTTACCACAACGTTTGTGTAGATTTGAAAATTTATTTATAAAATTCTAAAATTCTGGATAATCTATGTTTTATTCATCAGATCTTTAATAAAATTTATTTATTGTTTATGTTATTTATGTTTAATTTTCTTTTAGATTTTTATACATATGTTNTATTACAAATCTTTGTTTTACATGATAAACATTACATTACATTCTCATTCATTTTTATAAGGTTTAAAGGTTAAAGTTTGAAATAAGGATTAATTTAAAGTTATGAACAACAACTCTTTTTTATACAAAATAAATCACTATTTATTATTTTCCAATATTTAACCTATGCAAGTGATATAAATTAAGCTATGAGATAATGATTTAATTCTTGATTACAAAGTTATTCAGGACAAGGAATCCTATATGTCTATGAATAATAATGCTAAATATATGTATCAATGCAATCAATACAGAAATAATGTTCATTCATACAAACTTTGCAGCATATTTTCTAAATGCAACAGATCATGCATTCTTTAATTTTTAGATTATAAAATTTAGCTTATGAATCTAATTTGAATAATACTTTGGAACAATAAGGAATATCAGTTATTGGGAGATGCCAACAAACTCCTAGTAATTGCTTGTCATTATCATTATTGTTTATAATATTATGACAATTCAAACATACTTAGATTACTATTTCTACACATTAAATTGCAAATAGTTCATCTGTAATTCCATTACATAAATTACATTGATAGCAATGTTATTTAAATTCTGATTAATATTAAAGTCTTTAAGTCTATAATAAATTGAAGTCTTAATCCATTTTAGAATATTTAATAAGAAAATACTGTAATTCTTTATCTATTTTATATAATAAAATTTCTAATATATTTTATAGGTATAATATTCTGATCAAATTTAAGAATAAACAATTTATTCAGTTTTCATTTTAAATGAGTTTTCAATAAAATTATTTATATATATTTAATATAATTTATTAAAATAAGAGATAAAGCTTTAGAATACAAAAATAAAATAAAATAATAATCAACTTTATTTGGAAAAACAAGGTAGTACAACTGGTTTGGCTAATTTCATAGCTTTACGTTTATTTAAATATCTTAAAGGTATAAATCCAAGTCTCATGTAAAATCTAAAAAAAGTAAAATAATTTACCTTGTTACATGGATACAATCTTTACCACAACGTTTGTGTAGATTTGAAAATTTATTTATAAAATTCTAAAATTCTGGATAATCTATGTTTTATTCATCAGATCTTTAATAAAATTTATTTATTGTTTATGTTATTTATGTTTAATTTTCTTTTAGATTTTTATACATATGTTTAAGAACATTATCATTTAAATCCTCAGAAATTATACTACCTTAATTATTATTTATGGCATTTCTAATTATCAGATCTTCTTATTATTCTGGTAAATCAAATAATACTTAGTCAAATAATAATCTTTCCTCTTTTTACTTTTTTTCATATTCATCTTTTTATTTATTAATATATTCTCTTATTTATCCTTCTTATTTTTTAGTTTCATCATTATCTATTGTTGTTTATGGTCTATAATTTAGATTTTCAATTTATATGTTTGGATCAATGTTAGTAATGAATTTTGCAGATTCAATTCCAGTCCATTTCAATTTATTATCAATTGGTTTATTATTATTATTTTATGTGCTTAATTTTCTTGGTGATTTATTATATTTATCAACTGTTTCTATTTCTAAATTTGGTAATTTAGATCTTTAATTTTATTATTGTTATTATTTTTTAACTTCTTATATGATATTAATTGAAGTAACTTCTTTATCAGGTTTTATTTAATTTTCTTAGACATACTAATATTATTATTATTATTATTAATTTTTATCAGTAGTTGCTTATTATTATTTTTTAGTTATTTTATCACGATCTTCTTATATTAAAAATTATTATTAATTTAATTATTATTAGAATTTTGTTTATGTTTAAGGTGGATTAATAATTTATGATTCTTATTGTTTTTATTAATTTGGATTATTAATTTCTAAATTTTATTTATGATTGCTTATTTATTTATTTATTGTATTAATATCTAATTTATCTTAATTTTGATTTTTAACTTTAATTAATCGAGATGAATTATTTGGTGTATGATATTGAACATTATGATTTGATTAGAAAATATTAATAAGAGGTTTATCATGTAGACTAGTATTATGAATTGCTATTTTGTTTGAAATCAATTCATTTTCAATTACTCTTTCATACTTATATTATTCTTATTATTATTGAGATATTGATCTCACAGGTTATCTATCAGTTAATATACCAGAATTTAATTAAGGATTACTAGTTGTTTATATAATATTCGAGACAGCCTCATTTGAATTATTTTAATTTGAAACTTTTTTTTTAGATTTCAACTTTATTGAATTGGTTCTTTTTGATTTATTATTATTATTTTTGGTTTCTACAATTTATTAAACATTTGATGATGTTCTTCTTAATCTTTATTGCTTTTTATTTTAAGGTGAAACATCTTCTATTACTTAATTACTATCATTAAAACTAGACTAACTTGTATTTTTGGAATATTTTCCTTATGTAACAGTTTATTCAATTGGAACAAGTAAAATATGTTTATTTTCATCAATTTCTTTAATTTATTCTAAGTATAAAACTTTAGGAGAATTTAAATCTTTAGTGGATAAGAATTTTTATTTTTAAATTTAATCAGATTAATCTATAATTTATTGAGAATATGAACGTTTAGAAGCATTCATTGGTGATCTTAAATCATCATTATCAAATTATATATTTCCAAATGATTTTTATTCTTTAATTAATAAATCATTTTCTTCAATATCTTTAATTAAATCTAACATATCTGATAATTATTTTTCTCCTTTTTATTCTACTACATATTATAATTATGATAATCTTCTATCTTTGTTAGATTTATCTAAAGCATTTGTTAAAACTATTAATCTTTCTATCATTTTATCTTTTTTGACTAAATCATTGAATTATTCATTATTAATTGTTTCTTATTATACTTAATTTTATAAAACAAAAGGTTATAATGAAGGTGTTTTGAGTATTTTAGAATAAGATTATCTTTCTTCCTTTAACATTTTAGCATTAGGACTTGACATTAACATATCTTATGGTTCATCATTTTATGAAAAATTAACCATAAAACTTGATTATCTTTAAAATACAGTACTTCTTCTTGATTAATTATATTATTAATCTATTTTTTATTTTAATTCTTATTTATCTTATATATGTTATTTGATTTAATTTTCAAAAAGTTTGATTTACAATTCAAGACTCTATATATTTCTATCCTTCTCTTTTATATCTGATGTTTATTTATTTATTAATTAAATTTATTATTCTGTCTTATTCTATAATGAAACAATTTCACCAACATAAATCTAACAACGACAATCATCTCTATTACCTAATGTAGTCTATCTATTAAAATGATCTGCTGTTTAAAATCTCCCCTTTTTAAATTTCTCTTTAAATATTGATTTACAATATTGAAATACTTTTTCAGCTGTTTATTTTTAAACTTAAACTATATGTTATTTTAATTATTCTTCCATTTATTAATAATTATCAATAGTATCTTTCAATAAATTTAAATCAACACTCTTAAAAATTTAATCTATATCTTCTTTTTTAAATTTAATAGCATGCATAAGTTTATTTAATTCCTCTGGTTTCCCTTTTTCCTTATATTACTATAACACTCTACTTGATAGAGCTTCACCCATCATTGCTATAGATTCATTTGCATATTAAATTATGTTTTCAAATTCAATCTATCTATCATATGATCCAGATAAAACATTTGAACAATTTTAATAATAATCTTCAGTTGTACATGTTTATTTATCAATAAACCTTTTTTATTAAGATTAATTTAATTATTAGGCTTCATACCATGGAACTTAAGTAACATTTTTTATTTTGATATTTGGATTACCTTATTAAGTAATTGACACTCCACCAAAAAAATTCACTTAAGAATTTGTACATTATATACAATGATCTATTAATTAAATTTTTGTATTCTAATTATTCTTTTTTTGTTAATTTGATTACTCTCTACTTTTCAAAGCTTACATTAAAAGGTTGTGGATACAAATAAATGTTTTTTCTATTAATTAACTTACATCTATATTTATGGCTTATTGAATCAACAATGATGTCTCTGCATTTACTTAATTGAGCTCTAATGATAGCTATAAAATTTAAAAATCCTTTCATTACATCTGAAAATAGTTTGTAATCAAAATTTTAGTTATTTTAAAATTACTCCAATTTAGTAGATATCTAATTTACTACAGTAGTTAACTTTTTTATTTAGAACTCCATTAAATTGAAATATTTTATAATGAATTTCACATTAATATATATTATAAATGGTATTTAATAAAAATTTAGATATGTCAATATTTAGATGTTTATTACAATATTTATAAATGAATTATATATTGATATGAATATATATTAATCAAATAGTACACTTAGGGATTCAATACATTCTTGAAAGCATTGATTTATTTAGCTATTTATAATTTTAAAATATAATACACTATCTCTGACATCACGAAGTAATTATTTTTGGTTGTTTGTTTGTTATTTTAAATAACTTTAATCAAAATCACTTTAATGAAAACTTTAACTCACTTATTTATAAATAGGAAATGATGTATCTAATTATATTTGACTAATATTTCCAATTAATGATTTCTATGTTTACAATTCCTCTTATAATTTATCATTCTCTTTAAGATATTAAATCAATTTTGTTTATTTATATTATTAACAATTAAACTAAAGTTATCTAAATTATTATAATAACAATTATACGTTATGATATATTCACAATTTTTTAAAATTTATTAATTATTCCTAACTACATTAACACATTTATTATATGTTTCAACTTAATCATTAGTTGAAGCTAATAAACTCAATTTTTCATAACTTTTTTATAATTTCTTTTTATCATATTTCAGTCTTTCTTTTTATAATACCAACCATTATATTTCTTATTCTACATTATTAACCCATTGATCTTGCTCTTATAATTTAGGAGTTTATTAACTTCCTTTATTAGTCATTACAGGCTAAGACACATATTTTTTTGTTAATTCATTTAAGATATTGTCTTATTCTTATAGAGATTATTACAAAAAGTCAATTTTATCATTTTAACTTAAGACCCTTATTATTTTCTCAATATTTACTTTATTAGAAATTCTTCATCTCTTTTGGATTAATCTATATTCAAAAATTTAGCTTTTAAATTTTCAATTTTTGTTCTGTATTCCTAAATTTAAAGTTCTAATTCTTTTTTTTATATTCTTATATCTGGATTAATTTAAACTTTTAATTATGAATTATCCAATTAAGAAAAACTTTAATTAGCCATAACAATTTAACTTAATTCTAATTTCTAAATTTAAAGTTCTGTACATTTAAAATTTTCAACTTTAAATGCTTGCAACTATTCCTTATAATAATTATTAAGATAAACTCTTTCATTATCAATTTATTATTATTTTAATTTTACAAAATTAGTTCTTAACATATTCTTATAATTAATAATATTTTCTGTCATTTATTCATATTAAGAAATTTCTTCTTATTTTAAATCATTCTCCATATCATGAAGATTAGAAACTTTAGCCAATTCTAATTTTTCTCTATATATTTCTCTCAATCTTTTCTTAATATTAAATTCAGAATTTTCTTTATATAAGTTATGTAATTCTTAAGATTTTTATAGTTTGAATTGTTTTAATTAAAGAATTATATCATTTTTTTTTTATTTTAATATTTCATCCATATTAAACAAGATTTATTAATACTCCTTTTAAATTTATTTATCATATTAACCTTAAATCTTTAACCATTTTGTCTATAAATTTTATTATTATTAAGAAACCATATATTATTATTACAATTTTTTATCTTCTAATTCTTTTTAAGTTGATTTAATTCTTTATTTAACATTTGATAATTTTGATTCCCATTCACTTTAAAGTTATTGAATTCTTTATTCATTTTTTATTTATTTTTCTGTTCTATAATCAAGTAATTTAGATGCAGATTATTCTTATATTTTTGTCTATTCAATTATAAGTTTCTAATCAATTTCTTCTTAAATTTTTATTTTCAATTCTTCCTTTTAATTTAAAAATTTCTATCTAATTTATAACGCCTTCTCAGGTACATTTATATTAAAATCTTCAAAAGAGGAATCTGATATTTCAGATTTATCTTATTCAAATTATTTTGCTCTATTCATTTTATATAACATTACAAAAGACTCTTATTCTTTTTCATATTATGTAAGTTCAAATTTAAATTAATTATCGATTAATTCGAATTACTCTTGTAATTATACACTTTCATTCAATAAAGGTACATCAGATAAATTATTATGACTAATATCTGCTGCTTATGATAATTTCTTTTCTGTTTTCTAAGTTGTTTCTTATGTTGTAGGTTCTCTAAGTTATTCACAAAGTCCTTTCAATTTTTTAGATGTTTTAGATGGTTGAGCATTTTATACATCTTTCTTTTTCTCTTCTATATATTTGCGTCTCTAATTATGAATAAGTTTTACTTGAAATATTCATCTAAAGGATGTTCTTATTAAAGAACTTTAGTAACAGGATTATAATAGACAATATCTCCATTTCTAAGTTAAGCTGGTCTCCAAGGGGGAGGGAGTGGTGTTTTTAATCCTTCTTTGGCTATATGAAAATACTTGGTGTCACTTCTTGGAGACATACCTTCATAATTATGATGTTATTAAACCTAAACATTCAGCATATTCAAGAATTTCTAAATAATGGTTGTGTTTATTTACCCTCTCTACTAGGTTCATAGTCTTCGTCTATTTCTTCTTCCAAAATCTGAAATTCTGCTCGCATCATTATAAAATATAATAATAATAATAATATATATATATATATATATAAGAGTCATTTGATTGAGTTAAGATAATTTGTAAAATTCTTGTAATATCTAAATGAACGATTAGCATAATTATCATCAGATTATAAATAGAGTTTTATTTTATTTTAACGATTAGCACATGATTAAAAATTGTAAATTTGTGAGATTTATGATAATAATTTCTACTATTTGGAACTAAATGGACGAATAATCAACTTTTTTTTAGGTTTTTCAAGAGATACATGTTGTATCTAATTATATATATATATATGATATGATTACTGATTATTCCATATCGAGAATATCAGATTTAGCCTTTTCTGATACTGAAGCATTCATTGGTCTATCAATAAATTACCATTTTTATTTTAATTCTCTTACATCTTTCAAGTGATTTCGATATTTTAATATATGTTCATCATTCCAATTCTCTTATTCATGAAAACTTAGTTACTTTTTTGTTTTGATTAATCTATTTTCTAATTTAGATTTATTTTGAGGAGTAGTCAAAGGCATTACTTATAATCTCTAATTATGCCAAAAGTATGAAGTTTTCATTTATATATATATATATAAATTATATTTTCTTAAGCATAAATCATTTTTTATTGACTTTTTAATAGTATCCTGTTGAAGATCTTCCCATCTATTATTGAACTACATTATTTACTGATTTATTAATTCCATTATACTTTTAAGTCTATTACTAATTATTATTTGGTTACTAAAATGGATAATAATAACCTTATTTATATTAATTTGAATTCATAACTATTGAATTTGATTTATGATGAGTTTATTATGTATTTTAAATTTATTACATTGAATTTTCTTAAGAAATAGTTCTTGCTACATCTTGACTATGTTATCTTACTTAATTTCCAGATTAAGATTGGGGTCTCTAATTCTTTTTTTATTGCAGAATTTGTTGTTACATTTGTTATTGATAAATCAATTGTGAATCATCAACCTTATTTAAATCTATCATATCGTCTTGGCGTTTTGGACTAGGTACTTTATTTTTGAGTCTGAAATAGAAGGATTAGAGTACTTTTTATCATTCTCATCCTCCAAATTGACACCTAACTAGGCCAAATACTTTAGCTACCATTTCTTACGTTGATCCTTTTTTCTCTGAGATATATCTGCATACAAAGACTCACGATATTCCTTTATTGTAAATTTCTTATTATCATTCATCGAAATTTTGAATGGCTACAAACTTACAATTTCTTCATCTGGCTACGAGAATTCTATAACATATCTATGTTTTAAAGCTTATTCTGCTGTTAATCTTGTTTTTGGATTATAACAAAGTAATCTTCGAATTAAATCAAGAGCTTCTTCTGTAGCTCCAGTAAAAAATTAAACAAATGATTTCTTTTTCGAGGCATTAATTGAAGCTAGAATATTAGCAGCCAATTGACTATCTAATGATTCTAATTCATCTGCTTTTGGTTTTCCAAGTAATTCAATAATACGTTCAATTTAATTCAAAGATGATGTTCCTGGAAATATAGCTCTACCTAGTATCAATTCTCCTACTATACAACCCACAGACCACATATCTACTGCCTTACTATACTTTGTTGAACCAAGTAAAATTTCTGGTGCACGATACCAACGAGTAGCAACATATTCAGTGAGAAGAACCATCCCTATAAAAATATATGATATTATTATAACCATCATCTTCAGTCTAAACCAAACTTCTAGCTAATCCAAAATCTGCCACCTTTACTAAACATTCAGAATTCAAAAGAACATTAGATGGTTTCAAATCTCTATGAATTAATTCCCCTGAATGTATAAATTTAAGAGCCTTCAAAATTTAATATACAATATATTTCTTATGTATTTCTTCTAAAATATTGGCACGCTAATCTTCAAAATGAACTTCTTACTATTACTGCATGTAGATCAGTTTCCATATAATCAAAAACCAAATATAAATCCTTATTATTCTCAGCCTTCATTATATTGAGTAAACGCACAACATTCTCATGTCCATTCAATTCCTAAAGAAACATTACTTCTCTAAATGTTCTTTAAGCATCTGTTGCATTATGAAAAGCATCAAAAACTTTCTTTAAGGCAACTACCTATTTGAAATTTCATATACAAAAATACTTGCTTCAATTTCTTATCAATTGCCTTCCATACAATTCCATAAGCTCCTTTTCCTAATTTCTAAATGATCTCGAATTTTTTAGATATGTAAGGTTCAATCTCTTCGCTCATTTTTAAATTATAATGAATAAATATATTATATGAATTATCCTATATAATATGTTATAACAATTTCATTTTAATTTGATAGCCTCCAATTCTTATTAAACTTGATCAAATGCTTTTATTGGCTTATACTTTTCAGGTAATCCCTACTTAGCAAACTTACCTAAAGGTTAGAGAGTGACCTCTGAATTAATATGAGAAAATAATGTAGATGATACTCTCCAAGTACTCTTTCCTGCCTTCTTATTTTCCTCATATCTCTTTTTAGCATCTTCTGTATATATAACCTATATTAATCAAAATATATTGAATACTTCATGATAACCACAAGTAACATAGCCACCAGTCAGTAAATCAAATTGAGCCCCTGCTTATAAAAGAAGATGTCCTTCAGGAACAGCAACAGATATTCTTTCTCCATTCCTTAACCATACATAAAGTCCAGGATAACGACTCTTTCCATGAATAGTTAAGAAATTAAGATCATAATGAAAACCTGCAAAAACAGTTCCAAGTTTGTGTCTATCTAAATCTGATCCAGTTGGAGCCAAAAGATGAGGTCCTCCTTACATTCTAGTTGTAAATGTATCAGCTGGTATACTCATACCAATAGCAGCCATTTCAGCAACAGTTAAGCATCCATTAATCATCATTTTACCCCATTATTCCATTCTCTCACCAAATTAAGGAACATCTTTAGGTCTGAATCTTGGTGGTTTGAAACTAATATTTTAATTAATAAAATTAACTCTTCATCTTTATTTCGCTTTCCAGAATCATCAATAGGCCAAAAGAATCTCCATTTAGCATCCTAAAATAAAATAGTTAATTCAAATACATAAGGAGCTGGTTAAGGTGTGTATGCTTCATTTTCTTTAGTGTATTATCTAATTACATTTGTATGTGTACGGGCTTTCTCAACAAACTCTGGAGTGGCCCCAACTTGATATGAATAATTAGGAAAGATATCTTCAACCTAGAAATAAGATAAAGAATTTACTTTTTCATTATTATAGAATTTGGCAGCTCTACTTTCAAAATATTTCTCCATCATATCAAGAAAATCAACATTATGACGATCATTGACTCTTGGATCCTTAATACAAACAGCACCATAGTTATGAAGAGCTTCAGCTACTTAAGCACATTAAGCTGATGAGTCACCCTTTTTGGCAAGAAATGAAGTAACATCAACCACAGGAACTGATTTGGCAAATCTATAGGCCAATCTTGTTGTAAACATAAAAATAAAAATAGTATGTCATTCAATTACATATGAATCATATATTAATATAGTTTTTTTTTTGTTCAGTAAAATCATGGGGCTTCATTATCTCCACTTAAATACTTGTTATTATCCACATTAACCAGGACGTCATCTTCGGCACAATCCTAAATTTATTATATTTTGTATCTCATTACTTAAGGTAGCTATTGTGTTTCTTTTTCAACCACTTTGTAAAAACTTGGCAATTCATAATGTTTCTGATTTTTTTTTAAATAGTCAAAAATAAACACTGAATTTGCAACTTAGATAATTGATTTAGTATCAAGTTTCAATTCATCTATTTATAAGAGAGTTCCAAATTTGCTGCCTAAATCTTCTAAAAAGATTGATTCATCCTCTCTATTAAAAGTTATCAGTGCATGATTTCTAGACACACTGATATCTTACAATTTTATATCATTTTCTTATACTCTTCCAATCTTAATATTACTTCTTCCATTTAAATTTATCACATATAATCCTTTCTCTTTATTTTTATCAATATGACTAATCCAAAATATAAAATATGCTTCTTTAGGTCTTGGAATATCAATTAAATGATATTTTCTATTCTTAAACTTATATTCCACTAATATATGTATGAATATATGGTTTTACATTTATATTATTCTTTGCAAATCTCACAAATTAAATTTGACCAAAAATAAAGAACAATATTATTAAGTTCTCTAATCTTGAATTTATTATGTATCCACTATTAAAGACATTTAATGTGTATGTATTTGACAGATCCAGAACCTGCAATATGTTTAAATGATACTAGTTACATTGGCATGGATTTATCAGTGGATTTTAAATTGTTCCTACTTTACTCATGCAAATCCTACAAGAGTTTTCAGCATTGCTGTTATCACTGTCATCCAATCCATTTACATCTTCATCTTTCTCTTTTTCGCTTTCCTCAGTTGCCATAGCCTAATTAAAACAGGCTTCCCATAATATAATTTTTACTCGTCCTAGTCTTATAGTTTATCCAGGAAATAGTTATACTTTCTTTCATACAAACTTATATATACATTAGTTACTGGAACTCCATTTACTTAATCATTTCTAATTATTGACCATATTTCTGTAATAGGTCTCAAAACCTTTTCCTTAATCACAAATAATTCTTGTGCTCCTTCTATTGTTTACTATTAATAAATGAGTTTTATATACATTTGGCTACACAGCTAAAATGTTTTCTCCATACTTGCATAATTTTGTATCTTAAATCAACTACAATTATTAATAATGTGAATCATGACTAGAGTAATCATAAAGATGGTATTTCTTTTCCTTCTCTTTCCATATGTAAACATCAACATGCAATCTAACATTCTTAATTATTCTTACAATAACTGTTCATTCCTCTTATTCCCTGAACAAGCAACGCCCATTTATATAATAATTTTAATTAATAAATAGAAATATCTACATTATCTAAATAGATTTATAATTAACTTAAAGAACCATAATTGAAGAACTAATTCTAAATTTCTGATTTTTCAATACTATATTTAGTATTCAATGTTATATTGAGTAAAATAGAATAAACTATTTAGAAACAAAAGTTAATATTAGATTAGATATATATTTAGAATGTATTTATTAATGCAAAAAATATGTAAATATTTAATTTAGCTATAAATATGTTTTAATACTGTTTTATAAGGAAGATAATGATTAATTGTAAAATATATTATATATATATATATTATACAATTAATAAATTCTATTGTATGAACTATTATTAAATGATGATTAATTATAAAATATGTATTTAATAAATGAGAGTAATCAAAATGAAAACATGTTCTAATAATTGATGATGCTAAGAAAATAATGGTTTATTGAGTTTTTGTTGTTATTTAATTTAAATAAGATTTAAATTATTTTATTATGGCTGAAGTCGAACAATTATCAGAAGAACTTACAACCTTAAAAAGAGTAGTATAAACATCATTACACAGAGGACAATTGGCTAAGGGAGTCCATGAAGTTTGTAAGGCAATTGAAAGCAAATAAGTATTGTAATAATAAAAAGTTTAGGCCAAATTCGTTGTGTTAGCTGATGATTGCACAGAAGACACATATAAGAAATTGGTTATTGCTTTGGCAAAATAATTCTAAATTCCTGTTTGGAAGGTTGAGAAAGGTGCTTTACTTGGTGAATGGATTGGTATTTCAAAGTTCCTTACAAAAACAAAGAAGATTAAATCAAGAAAATGTTCATCTGTAGCAGTAAAGGACTTTGCAATAGAGGTTAGCGAAAATGAAAAATAATTTGTCGAAGATAAAATAAAGGCATTGTGAAGTTATCTAGTACATATATACATTAAAATTATTAAATGGATAAATTCAGCATGGATGAGAATACTCTTGATCTTCATATCTTCACTCCTGAAGAACCAAAATTGGGTCCATATACATATTTAAACATCAATTACCTTCCTCATCTTGCTTCTCATATTATGCATAAAATCTCTCATAAAGAATTTTGTTCATTGATTGAGTTTGAATTGCAAACATATTTATTAGAATTAGCAATCTAACCATAGAGAAGCAAGACAATAAAAGAATTAACAAGTTTTATAATAATGGAAATGAGACTCAATTAAAAATTTTGGATTCATGGAAGTGAAGCTTGGAATGAAGTGTAATTACGTTTAAAATTATTACATACTCTGGAACCAAATTGTACTTAGGAATAAGTAAAAAAGAATGGAGGCAAAAAATCATTATCTGAAATACTTTTAGATGCATATGCATTAAAAAAATATTTGGCAACTTTAGACTTTTCAAAGATTGATTACAAGAGTGAATTCTTGAAGATTCCTGAAGTGATATCATTGATTTCAGAATATGATCAAGCTAAGTAAAAAAATATCATTATAATATTTAGCTCTTAAAATAAACAATTATAAGCAATAGAATCATATAATGAAGTTATATAATCTCTTGTGGAATGTAAAAATAGAAAATATCAATTGAAATTACAATAATAAATTGATCAAATAAAGAATTAATCTGTTGATCTAATGAATAAAGTCACTTATATTTAAAATAAAGAGACTAGATCTAATAAAACTGATTAAGTTTCATATAGAGATAAGAGAGCTTTGATAAAAGAATAATAAAGATAGGATGTTGATGAAAGAAGAACAATATTTGTTCCAAATCAAGTATATTGTTATTATAAGATTGATATGGTGATTTTACCATATATATACAGATTCATATTTGGAGAGAATTGTATATTCACAAGATAACATTTGAGAATACAAAATTTAGTTTTGTATTTGTGTTTAAGTGATTAGGAAAATTATAAATAAAATAAATAAAAAAAGAATATAATCTTAGATGATAATGTTGAATCTAAAACATCTATGAAATTATTTTAAAAGTATTTAGAATAATCAAAAGATAAATTGATGACTGATTTTGAGTAGTATTGTAGAAATCAAAACATTAGTTTAATGAATTATTTTTCTAGTACTCCTGCTAGTTATAGAAAAGAATTATTATTAATTAGAAATATTCTAATTTTATCATTAAGATTTGCTTAATAAATTTTAGAAATTGATTATAAATTTGAAGATCAGAAAATTAATTAATTGGATTATGAAGAAGAAGAAAAAAATGATAAATCCCTTAATTCATATTAAAAATGGAATAAAACTGATATGTAGAATGATTATTACTATTTTAATGTACTTGCACAATTAGAATTGTATTATGATATACCTTTTGATTAATATGATGATTTATTGAGAGTCTACACAAGTTATATTGAAATTGTATATACATCTAAAAAGGAACATTTTAAGGAATATTTTGGAGTACTCAAATCCAATCAAGATGGTCTTTTGGGATTAAAAACTTCTTTAGAATAAGTTAATTAAGCTATAGAAGAATATCTAAATTATATTAATGCCCCTAAAACTTAATAAAAGAGGTAAATTATATTATTCTTAATATAGATCATATATATATCATAGTGATAATAGAGAAGAATGGAAAGAAGAATAATATAAATAATTTTTGGAGGGATTGTACAAATATTTTGAAATTGTAGTTAATAATAAGAAGATAGCTAAATTTATGGGTGATGTTAATCCAAATCATGTTAGATTTATTAAAGGATAGTATTTAAGAGGATTAAAAAAGAGAGCAAAGGAAAAGAATATTAACAGAAAGGAATTGTTAAAATAGGATATTGAAAACTTTGATATTACAATTTTTGAGAAGAAATGATTCTTAGAATATATTTATTCATCAACAAAGTTCTCCATCTGTATATCCAACTATCTTATCACATATAGGACAATAATGCGTTTTCGAAGAACATTTCTACATGCAAAATGGCACTAGACCCAATATTATTGTGCAAAAACATAATATACAACACCATATAAATGTTGCTTTGCTATATGTATATTCTATCCTTGATATTCTAGGTTAATTACAAGTAAAACAATAGAATTCACATGGTTCTGATCTTATAAATAAATTTTCATAATTTTATACATTCCATTTAATTTTGTTTTGTATTTGAAATTTATTTATGATTATACTACATTCTCATCCATTAAGTGTGAATGCTCTGACATTTTGTATTAAATAAATAAATTTATTATATATTATTTATATATGAACTCAGAACAAGCTAAATCAGGATTTTCAAATAAATAATTGAATAGTGATGAAACATAAAGAGTTGGTGAATGTATTAATCATAAACGATAACTTGAAGCCTTCTGTACAATTTGTCATGTGTAGTAATTTCAATATATAATAGATTAATATGTCCAACATGTCTTATGTTTGGAGATCATAAAGGACATTTAGTTGATTAAATGGATAAGGCAACAAAAGATTTAAGAACATAAATGGATACAGCTGCAAAAGAAGGATTATTAAAATTAGAAAAAACAGAAACTGTTCTTGTAGATATTAGACATACAAAACTTACATTTGAAGAATCAAAATAAAAAGTATTAAAAGAAGTTGAATAAACTTTTACTAAAATATTTTAATTAATAAAATAAAGAAAAGATGAAGTTGTTAATTTGATAAATCAGCATTATGAATTATAAGTTAACAATATTGATACATAAGAATAAATTTGGATGGATAAATAATCTAGAGCTTATGATGTTATTAAACTAGCCAAATCATCTAATGATTAATAATTATTAGAGAAAGCAACATATATTTTGGAAAGTATCTCTTCATTCTATAATAATAAAAGGCTTAGATATTTTGAGATAAACACCCACTTATAAAAATGTATACATTGTTAATTCTATTGATACCACTTTTAATACAAATAATATATCATTAAATTTATCTGAGTTTTAGAAAGGATTGTAGAATTGGATCAAATTAGGTGAATCTGTCTTAATACAATTCAAATGTTGAAAATTGAATTATTATTATATAATGTTAAAGAAAAGATATCTCTTCATTTTTGATTTTGACCATACCATAATTGAGCATAATACAGATACATATATAATGAAATTACTACCAGATGGTCGTAAAAGTTTGCCTTCTTATTTTGAATAAGAAAAGCATTGGAATAAATTTATGAGAAAAGTCCTATAATTTTATTATCATAATGATATAAGTGTTTAATAGATTTAAAATTGTTTACAAGAAATCCAATTAACATAAGGTTTCGGAGAATTGTTTAATTTTATTAGGTATATATTTATATAATATATTGTTAATAGAGAAAATAAAGACTAAATTGAATGTATAATAGCTAGTGATTCAAATACATTTTTCATTGATTCTATATTAGAAAAACAAAATCTTAAAGATATATTTGATAAAATTTATACTAATCCAGTTTAAATTATTGATGATATTGAAATATCAATCTTTCCATATCATAAGAATGAATGTTAATCAACATGTCCTAGAAATATGTGTAAAAGAACTATCATTTTAAATAATTATTAATTAAATAATTATGAAAAAGTATGTTATTTTGGAGATGGCAAAAATGATTATTGTCCAGGAACTATATTGAGAAAAGAAGATATTATTTTTGTTAGAAAAGGATATGCTTTAGAAAAATTAATTCATAAAAAAGGTTTAGAATGTGAAAAAGTATATTTTGAATCAGGGATAAATTGTATCAATAGATTAAAGAATCTATTTTTGTGAATTTATTAACAATCTATATTAAGAGATATGTTGTCTATATATATATATTTGATCTAATTATAAATATAACATTTGTATTATTTATTAATAAGGTTAATAACAATATTATTATTCATTTTTAATCATGGATTAATAAAAAAATATAGATGAATCAATAACTTTAGATGTCTTATAACCAAAATTAAACAAATTATATCTGGTGTGTTCAATTAATAGTAAAGAGCCATTTACAGATCCTGAAACTATTTAGACTGATTTTATTAGTAATTATGAATCATTTAATAATCTAAAGCTTAAAAAAGTGAGACATTAATGGCATTGAAAATTCCAAGAATGTTTGCATATATTGGTCTTACAGGCACTAAAGCTGTATAGAATAAATAACATGAGGAATTGCCAAATCAACTATTATGTTGTTTCAGATTATTGGATGTAGATAACATCATAGCTGGATATATGGATGGCAGAATAATGTAAAAGTAGATTTCGACGCAACGAATAATTAAAGAATTTAATCGATAGAATTAAGAACCTATAATTAAGAAAAGACCCATAAAAATCCATATTTTTCAAAAATATTTTGTTACCTTATTTCTAGAGGGGGTTGTTTGTATTTATCACTAAGATTATTAAATGTTCAAATTCTATAATGAATATGAAAAATTCATTCGATTATCATTCTAATATCATAAAAAGTTAGGTAAAATTTTAATATTATATAAGTAAGTTAAAAGACCTTGAAAAACTTCGAAAGTGACCCTAATTTACATTATCATTATTTAAATTATGGTGAATTTTCTAACTTTTAGTTTTGTTAGCCAAAGATGAATCCATAATTTATATTTAGGTTTGAATCAATGTCAATTAATGATATTGAAATATTACCCTTTAGTCCATTGGAACATCTTAATAAGCCAGAGTAAAGAATGGAGAAGGGATTATGTATAGCTATGAGTGGATTAGATGGATATTTTAGATTATTAGATGTTATGAGTAATAAACCATTGTTTTCATTTAAAACTGAATGTTGTGGAATTTGTTCATTTTCATTTAATCCAAATTTCAGCAGTGTAAGTAGAGCTAGTTAAATAGGTTTGTTTAGGAGCCCAGGATGATTCTGCTTATGTGATAAATTTTAATTCTAAAATTTCATGGATACGTTTGGTGGGACATAATTCATTTATTTCTAGAGGAGTATTTAGTTCAATAAGTGCTACAGAGTTTAGAATAATATGTGGTTGTTATGATGGTACAATATCAATAACAGATGTTGATTTAAATTAATTAAATCCTGAAAATGGTTTATTTGTGAAGGCATAAGAAAAAGAGAAAGTGTTATAAGTTAAGAATATACAAAGTGTATCATAAGATGGAGTTGCAAATGTAGCAGAATTTTAGAATTATGTTGTTTGCATGAATTTTGATGGAGTAATTAAAATTTTTCTATTGTAATGATAATTGGATAAATGATTATATCAAAATAAGACTCCTTTCTCTTAATAGTTGAGTGGTCTAGATGAATTTGGATTTGTATATCTTCTAATAAAATCTTGTAAGATTAATTCTGAATCTTTAAAATCTGTGGCTGCATGATCATTTGCTTGTCTGTGAACTCTACACAAAGTCTCTTTATAATCTTCATACCACCATACAAATCTTTTGATATCTATATTAATATAAATAGATTGAACCTTCATGTTCCAATAAAAATTCATTTTCTTTAACCAATTCTTATGCTCTCAATTAAACATATTCATCAAATAAATTTACTTTTGTTAGTTCTGATTTATATTCGAAATAAATTTTGCCAAATATAACACATTATACAACTGGAAAAAGATATCTAAATGTTCTGAATCTAATGTTTTGAGTTATAACATTATAATTGTAAGCATAAAGGAACTTTTTCATTATTAAATATACATACCAAATTAATTCCAAATGCTACTGCTTAATATCCAAATTTATTATATTCGATTACTGGATAAGTCATATCATCTTCCCATTCAGCTAATCAAAATCATATTCAATTATATACGATCTTATGAACTTAGACAAAATGCATTAAATGGTATCTTTGGTTGGGTCCATCCTGCTGTTTCAATCAATTCAACCATTTTCTTTATTGATTTATAACGTTTTAAACGAGCTTCTCTAAATCATTACCTATCATCATTTACCTAAATGGTGGTAAATTCTGATTTCTCAAACCAAGCAAACTGATTATTGTAAAATAATTATCCATTTATTTTTATTTATAAATAAACATCCATAACAAATCTAATATATCAATTTCATAAATCAAATATCCACAAGATCCTCTATCATTTTCAATCTATAGATATCAATTTTAAAAGTATTTATTCATTTACATTATACTTATTGAACTAAATCACTAAAAAAGTTAATAAATATTACTTTAAGAGTATATATAAAATTTGAAGTAAAAATTATAATCAATTAATGAATATATGGCTTATTTAAAACTAATAAAATTGAATTAGGATCAAAACCCAACCATCAGATTTTATAAAAGTAAATTTGTTAGTAAGGCTGTCAGAATTGAATAAATTGTAGAGTTAGAATTTTTGGTTGATACATTAAAAAAATAGAATTTTGAGCTCCAAGGACAAATCTAAATCAAAAAGCTTAATCTTTAATTTAGTTTACCCAAAAATAGTAACTAAATATAATTGTTTGAATGATGTAATACTTATATAAAAATTAAATCAAGTCAAATTATAGTAAAATTAAAAATGTAATGAATTGATCTCTAAAAATAAGCTTAAAGATCAGATAATTTTCTTAAGAATTGGTAATAAACATTTATTAATTTATATAAATTCAAATTTAATTGAAGATAAGTAAGACTTATCATAAGATGATGGTTAATTTAAAAAATCAGATTAACAAAAATGAGAATGATTAGATACTAAATAAATTTGATAAAAAATCAATATATATGAATATAAATATATATTCTATAAATAAATAAAGTATTTTTTAAAGAAATAAATGAGAAATATTTTTTGGCTTTAATTTCAAAGACATGTTTTTAACTACAATAAAAATTACAGAGTATATAAGAGGATAGCAAATATTTTGATCCCCATTAAAAATCTGAATATTAACAATATCATTTTCAAAAAGTGAATTTTTAATTTAATTCCTCCAATTTTCTTTCTATGCTCTATGAATACTTTTTGTATAGGATTTCTATGGATTATTACAATTTTTCTGCTCCACTTGAAAACAAGTATATAAACACTGCTATTCTCAAAATATAATAGAGAGTGTATGCTTGAATATAATAAAGAATTATTTTGTGACTCAATACCACTAGTGAGTACATTATCCAATAAGTTATCCATTTCAATTGAGAGTCATCTAAAATTAATATTTAAATATTTTACATATAGAATTTAAAGCTTACAATGTTTTAAAGGTTGGAAAACAAAATCCAATAAAGTCACTAATAAATTGCGGTTGAATATTTAAATAAATCAACAATAGGGAGAATGACAAATATAGCAAAGCTAGATAACTTGGCCTTCTAAATCCTAGATAATGCGAAATCCCTATAAGGGTTTTTTCATAGTCACATGCCTCTAATCCAACAAAATTTATGAATTAATCAATTTATTACATTACTTTAAATATTAATAAATGTTCAAAAGAAATATATATTATAAACTATAGTGTTATAAATTTTTATTATTTAGATTGTGTAATGAGATATAAAAGATATCTTCATTGAAACTAATAATATTAAAATTGCATATTAAATTATTATATCAAATAATATTAAATGAATATTATTAATAGATATAAAGAGAAAGAGTAATTTATTACAGTAATGCATTTTAATAAGGGGAAATGCAAATTAAAAAAAATGTCATCTGAACTTCAAAACTGAATTCTTGTTTGGTGTTACAGTTGTTAATATTTTCTAAACATTCTGTAATTTGAATTACCTAATTGGAACTTGATTTTTAGAGCTCTTAAAAGGGACTCCTTCCTGAGGATGATGAATTGCCTCCATTTCGTTTAATGTTCTTCATTGGAGTTGTATAGGCAGTAAGCATTCCTTAAAATATTATATGAATTCAATTTACTTGTTTAACTTTCCGTTAGATTCTCGCTAAAAATATGTGTTGGTTTCTCATCTTCAGCATCCTCTTCACGCACAACTTCTAAGTACTTGTAACTTTGTACAGGTAATTAAGAATTTTAAGGACTCTAGTACTAGTTGTTAGGCATCATTTTAATTAAAATTTGAATTATATTAATGGATTATATGGAACTAAAGGACTTAGATTTTTTAAAGTTTGTAAGGAACTTTTATAGATTACGTATGGCTACTAATGAAGAATATGATCCTCCATTTCATGAAGCAATCAATTATTATGCTAATTATTTAGAATAATTAACATTGGATTATTGGGAAGATCTTCTAATAAATTATAACATTTACAATTATCATTTTTAGTAATCATACTAAAAAATAAACAATTCTAAACAAGATATAGAACTAAAGAAGTTTACAAATGTTTAACTATTCAATCTCTATGATAAATTGATAGAATTTTATAAACTAAATATTAAGTCTGACTTCATAATTGCATTATCTATTTGGTATCCTTCAATTTTTAGTATTTTATCTTCTCAAGCTCGTAAAGATCTTTCAGATAGAAGAGAAAATCTAACCTTAAAATATCTATCAAAGGAATTGACAAATATGTAATAAAAACTTAAATTTGAGTTCTCCATCCATAAAATAGTTGATATTTCACATATGTTATTTTATGATGTATTTTTTATACAAACATTAAAGTATATACATTTTAGATATAATTAATAGATAACCTATGCAAGCTCATCATTAATTGTTGGATGTAATTGATGATGCATTTATATAATTCTTTTAAGAACAATACAATCTTGCAGAAATACAACAAAATACTTAAGCTAAATGTTTATAAATAACAAAAAAGTAATAAGTGGATAAAGAACCACTTAAAAAATTTAAATAAGATTGCCTTCTTACAATCATGTAAATGAGAATAAAGAATCATGAACAATACACAAAATTTATTAAACATTATTTAAAACTATGATTTATAAATTTTCATAAATATTCAAAATATTCAATTTCTATTTTCATTTAATTTTATTTGTATAAAATTATATAAAAGATTTATTAAATCTATAAATTAATTATCATTAAAAAATTATTATGCTTTCATGGTTTTTAATATCTTATATATCTCATATTTTCTTAAAATAAATTATAAATACATTATGATCCAACATTTATTCCTATTAGACATATTATATTAATTGACTAATTAATTTTATTATTAAATCTTTTATTATTGGTTTTTTTTCAATCTCATAACAATTTATAGAAATTCAATTTTACTCTTTATTTTGTTAATTGAAAATGATTTTTCAGATTTTATTTGAATTCTTAATGTTAGATAATCATCTAGGTAATTTAAACCATTTTAACATCTAATTTTATATTAATTTTTAGATATTAAAATAATTAAGCAGATTATTGTTATAATTAAGTTAGTTTTAAATTAAATAATTTATATATTGTATTCACTTTCATTAAAATATAATGGATTTAATTGAAAATTAGAGATGAAATAGTTAAAAATCACTGTCAAATCTCTATAAATAACAATATAAATTTGTATGCAATATATATTACTATGCACTATTAAACATGAGATTAATTTTTATCAATCTTAAATTATCGGAAAATCATAAAATGAATTGTAAAAATACATTTGAAGAACAATCAACTAAGATATCCATTTCTGATTGGGATATTTTAGAGACAGACTTAGAAACTCATTGCTCATCACCTAAATAAGAAGGAATTATCAATTAGATTCAGAAACATAAATTCGTTATTGGAATTTCGAAACCAGAAGAGCAAAGAATTGGACTATCTTCAATTAAAAAAAGCAAAATTACAATCAAAGGAATCTTAGGGATCTCTAATCTTTCTATCTGAATGACTACATATATATTAGTATTCAATATAAAAATATTTTAGATATTAAGTCTATAATATTTTGTTGATTTTAACCATTCTAGATCCTAATTAGTAATTATACCTATCTTTATTCGTATTCTAAGTATTTTCATATTGGCGTAATCTGAAATTATGAAGTAATCAAAAATCAAAAATAAGCCACAGATGCTTATTTATAATAAATAAATGAGATTGTATATTTAATGAGGAATCTATTTAATAAAAACTTAAAAAAACCTATTCTTTTTGTATATAAATTTGTTTAAGTTGAAGCAGAAATATCTAAACATGATATAAAATATAAACTATGAAATAATAAAAATGAATCTAATAAATAAGCAAAATAAAAGTATTTTTCTTGAACAAGTTTTTATTATTTATACTAAAAGTAATAGTTATAATAACTTTTACTTTTACAGTCTTTTCTTTATTGTTTTTAAAAATCCAGTTAAATTAATTAAATTCGTTCCTAATATCCAAAGCATCCTTTAAATATTAAAAAACCATAACTAATCCATAAATAATGAAAAACTTTCTTTAAATGAGCTAAACCCTGGACATAAATAAATAAGTAAAAGACTTTCTGGAATATATAATATATAATGTTTATGGAATTTAGAAGTTGATATAATTTTTAGTTATTATGCATCAAAAATTGCTGCCATTTCACAATTATATATTTCCTCATTACAAAATACAATTAAAGTTAAATGATTATAAACAGAAAATTCTTTTAAAGTTTAATTTGAAATGAAAGTCATAAAAAGTAGTTTTATAATCATTAAAATAATTTTATATATAGCATAATATGAGATTAGTTGAGATTAATTAAATTAATTAATATATTTCTCTACTCTTAATATGATCAAACTCTTAAGATATAATATCATCATGGTTATTTTGATGATTAAAAGTTCAATTAAATATCTGAATTAATTTTAATTTTTGATTTTATATATTATAATATCTCTAAGCTTCAAATAAATACACTAACTGATACAAAAATATATTTTTGATTTAATCTAATTCATTGATATCTAAATAATTAATTTCCCATATATTCTCATATATTTTCATTTCGTTTATCACTTATTAATCAATATAGTTTTATATTAATGGAATAATACTGAATTTTAATAAATTATATTCAATTTCATATTATAATTATACCTAACATTAGGTATTATGATATTAAACTATTTTCAAAATATGATAGTGAATTAGAGATTGATTTAAATATATTAGAATGGTGAAATTATTATTAATATGTAATATCACATATAGATTAAAATTATTAATAAAACATAGACAACAGGTATTATTGTTGTTGTCATTAATTCTATTACTTAAACAGATGATTCATACATTAAAGTAAACTCTCTAAATCCCCAAGATTCTAAAATATCTAATAATTTTTACCATCAATAGAGTCTTGATTCAAAGTAGAACTAAATTTAATTCTAGCTTCCTCATTAGTATGTTCAAAGATTAAATCAATATAAACTTTTGAATCAGTCCAAAATTAACCACAATAATTAGAATCTGTGTCTACAGACCAAACATGTGTCCAAATTTATGCATCATCTACTTCAATTATAAGTTTTTCATTATCCCAAGAATCAATTTTATAAACCAAAACCTATAATCTTAATCTTGTATGAGGTGGAATTTTAAAAGTTTTTGTTATATATCCACCACTGCCAATCACTCCAAAACCTCCAATAAGACTTGTTCCCATACAAGTAGTTATAACAGGTGAATTTTTATTTTAATAAACTTCCCAACCATTTAAATCATCAAATTTAGTAGTATTAAAATTTTACGATAGAATCTCAAAATTTGAAATATTTAAACATTAACCAGAATCATAAAATAAATTATCAGAACATTCTATAAAATATATATGAGTTTTAATTATTACTTATACAATCTGAAATAGTTGGACCATGACATTCGTTACATCGATCAGCACATGGCAAATAATATATAAATAGATCTCTTAATCCAAAAGATTCATCATCTGAACCTTAATCAAGTGTTGATGTAAAATTTATAAGCATATTATTGCCAGTATGATCAATTATTGTATCAATTCTTTAAAAATCTGTTTTATACTTTTGATTTGAATTTCCACAAATTTTACTTCCATATCCATTTGTAAATGTATAATTTTTTCTCCATACTATTATTCCATCTACCATCATCTATCCTTATTCATTATCCCAAGAATCAATGTTAGCCCATAAAACTTATATTCTTACTTTATAATGTGGTTTCATTTCTATCATATTATACAATATTGTATTCATTCCAAAATTATTATAACCTCCAACTAAAGCAATATCTAAAATCATATAATTTCAATTACTTCCACAAATTGATGTTTTATCCTTTCCATTAAAGATTTACCAACCTTCAAATGAAACACTTTATAATTATATCCAATTATTCAATCCAAATTCCCATAATGAACATTATTCTTATGTATCTTCATTTTCACATGTTACACAACCTTTTGGACATTACTACACTGATAATTTAAGATCACTAAATCCCCACTTATATGAATATTCTACTATATTACAATTTCTTATGTATTTGCTATAAAAATCACTATACCTGAACTTCCACTATGCAATAAATCTAATTTTAACTAAATCATTTTCATATCACTCAACCCACATTAAGTCAAAACCATAGGTGATGTTTTGCTAGACCAAGCCAAATCGTGATCAACATATAAATCAATCTGATTATTTAAATCTACTCTATATTCTATACAAAACTTTATTATACCCATATAAAATCACTTCCAATCTTAACATTGTATGTTAAGGCATTTAAAACTATTGGATAGCATAAGAATCATTTCCAATTTAACCATATATGTTTGAACCACCATTACATTTAAATTCCTTTCTTTATCCATTATAATAAATATCTTTTCTATTGATAATATTTACCACCAATAACATTTGTATTATTTAAAACCTCAAATGTTATTTATTCTGTTGATGCTATAATTAATATCAACACAAATATAAGGATCATAATAAATTTTATAATCTAATTAATTTATAATCATTTTTATAGTCTCATCCTAATATAATTAAATATTTTTATTCAATTTAAGAATATCATTGCTATATTACGATAATCCTTTTAATTTTTAAATTATTTAATCCATTTTTTAATTCTTCATTAATTTAATCATATAAAATTGCTTAAATTTTTAAGTATAACGTTTTAAGAACAGGCAAGCATTTCTATTTTTTTCTAGTATATCAAAATATTATTTGGAATGTAAATTTAGTTAAAATACTTCAAAATGTCTAAAACAGAATATAATGATTGGTAATTAAAAATATCTATTGGGTTGTTAAATCAATGTTATATTAGAAAGATGATTATCAACTTTTAATAGTATTATATAATTATATTGACAAAAACTAAGAAAATAGGTTGGAAATTGAATTACAGTATATTTGATTGAACATCAATCTTTAGATAATAATTAATTAATTCAAGTAGATAATTTCTATTTTAGATATGTAAAGAAGGGTGTTATAATCAATTGATCCAATCATTTGTTTTATATTTTAATTATTTAATATCTTTATAAATTATATATATATATATTTTATTTCAAAATTATTCAAAACTCTCAATCTAAAATAATAAATTTTCAGTAGCATCATTAGCTACAGATAACTACTTCAAATAGTTTTCTGCATACATTTTAATTACACTAATAGGATTAAATTATAATAATGTAAAACATATCTTTGATAATTGTGTCAAGATATTTATTTTTTATCTTGATTAGATTCAAATAATTTACCGTCTTATTCTCTCTTCTAATGTAGTCACTTCCTTTATTTCTTCAACCAATGCATCATAAATAGCCTAAACAACAGAAGCTTCTATAAAATCTGCTGTTTACAAGACTTTGTTTTCTTTAATGTTATACATCAAAAAATGTTTCTTATTCTAAACTGCAACATTAATTATTGAACTAACAGTTATTAATTTTCTCAAAGGTGATGCATCCTAAAATTCTAAACACTCTAAATAGAATATATAATGTACTAAATTAATCATCTTTTAACTCCATTTAACAATTTATTCATATGCATCATTAGATGGAACCTTATAATTACTTTTATTTCCCTATATTTCTAAAGCTTAACACCAAAGTAATCTATTCAAAGTACTCTATCTAAGTAGTCCTATAATAGTCTCATTATTTTATATTTCATTTGCATTCCATACACAATTAATATGAATTTACATTATTTTGTATATAGCCTACACACTATTACGATTTATCAAATGTGTTAATTCTTACTCTTCAATAGTTTATAAATTCTATCAATTATTATAAAATAATTTACATTCTTCTTAACACAGTCTTCATAAATATTGTAAAATGTATCATTATGTGCTTTGATAATATCCTTCAATTTTTGATATTCTTAACTCTTCATGCTGTCTATTGTCTTACCTAAAAAGGAAGAATAAGGTCTGAATTCAAGTTGTCTAGGTGCTTCTTAAGGTCTTTAATATTTTTTAATAAAAGTCTCTATGACATCTTAAAGATTAGTTTTTCTGATCTAATCATTCAATTTTTCAGTATCTTGTAAGGATTACTTTGAAATTGAAGATTCAAATAAAAAGAGTTTCATTAAAGTATCCTTTTGTACAAGCAATTTTTATTACTCTTATTATTCCATCTAAGATAAATAGCTTTCCATTTTAGTTTTATAAACATCAATAAATTCATTATAGGAAAGAACAATAATTTCAAATTCTCTTTCTAACTTAATGCATTCAGATTAAATTTGCTAGGTCCTATTTAATAAATATATTTATTAATTATTACTTGGATGCTTGCTTTATGGCTTTATCTTCTGAAATATCAAGACTATATTAATAAATCATATCTGAAATTCCAGATTACTCTAATTCTCTAGCTTATAATTTATAGTCCAATTTTCCACCCATTAAATCATCTTATTTATCTTATAAATCCCATTCTAGACCTTTCATCTCGTCAATAATCTTTTTCGATATTTAATTTTAATCCTATAGGATTTCCTTTACTTATTCAACTATTTCTGTTCGAATCAATTCTACAAAATTCTCCAACCTTTCTATCTTATCTCTTAATTAATTCACCAATTATTCCCTTAAATATGTTATACTGACAGCATATTCATATTAAATTTATATACCTTGATCTGTCAATTTATTAGGAAAGTTTATGTAATGATTTGGCATATTGATCTTCAATGTTTGCTCTTTCTTGTAAAATAGCCAAATATTCTTCCAAACCTCTTTTACTCTCTATATTTTATGAGATTATTCTCTCTGATTGACCCTATCTATAAAATAATATGAATTACAAGCAAATTTGGATAATATGCCAATTTCTATGTTTGATTCATAATTATATAAATGAAATATGTAGAGATAAAATTTTAATAATTAACAAAAATGTTAGAGAATTCAGGATTCCTTCTTTGGCTCATAATATTCCTTCTATGGTCTTTATTGATATTTCTTATATCCAGTAAACTCTCTCAAATCATCTTCTAATCTATCTAGGATATTTAGAATGTTAAATTACTGTAATGCTATTATGGTTTTCTATTATTTGAATTATCATAATATTTGTTTGAATGGTAATGTGAATCATTATTTGGTCTTCTCTTTTACTAAAATTTTATATTCTAATAAATACTTGATATCTATTTTGATAATAAGGCTTTTGATGATATTCAATTCTTCCTTCATCATACTTCCTACCATGATTTTTTTCAACAGAATTTTCTTTGTTTGATTCTGTCTCTCTTGTTTATATCTACCCTGGTTATAGGATAGGCTATTCAATAATTGTTTACTCTTGTTGTATTTCAACTTAGATTGGTTCTTGTTCTGTCAATTTTTATGAATCAATATTTATCTCTGATAATTATACATCTTATTGAGGATAGAGTATAGGTACAAATGAAAATTAGAATTATTGATCTTATAATGGAGCAAAGTTTAATTCAACTTTATCTTTTGTTCTAATTTAATTAAGTCTTTGGCTAACAATATCTGAAGATGTAAAATCATATAATTATTATTCTTATTAATATTCTAGAGATTGCTATTAAATTTATTAAATTTATTAAGTTTATTCAGGTTAATATGATTATGTTTATTATTATTGTTATTATTATTTTTATTATTATTGTTATTATTATTATTATTATTCTTAATGTTATTATTATTAGTATTATTATTAATACTATTATTAATATTATTATTAAGAATTAATTTAATATTAATTCTGATTCTCATCATAATTTCTCATATTATTCATTCTTTATTCTTAAAATTATTGTTATTTATGTGCTACAATACTTAAAAATTTAGTAAAATAATCAACTTCTTCCATTTTCGCATTTTATATACCATACTATATTCATATAAATAGAATTCATTACAATTGATTTAGATTGTTAAATTTTACTAAATGCTTATTAAGCATCTTCTTGAGTTTCAAAGACAATGAATAATTTAATCATATCTTTATTTGGTACATATTCTGCTTCTTTTGGTTCCCATTCCTATCTAACTTCTAATTCTTATAAAAATCTCTGAAATTCTTCTAATTTATTTTTCTTAATCAAAATTTAAATTTATTTCCTCTCTTTTGAAAAGATTGGCATTACTGCATTGAAAGTTTGATCATAAACCCAATTGGTATAGTTGAATTGAATTAATATCTATATGAATGATGTTTCACTTAATTACATTCACTAAATTCTGCATTCCATTTGGATATTCTAATAATTACCGGAAACTATTCTCTTTTGCCAAGCAAGATAGACGAATATACCCTGTAGAGGAATCAAATCTTTTCAATAGAAAATGGTTTCTACTTAAGACAGGAAAACTGAAAATACGTCTTAGCTATGCTATAGGATGAATCTTTACCTGTTATATAAGAAAATCATCAACACTTTGCGGTTACATGCTATTTTATTTTGAATTCAAAATAATTAATTTAATGAATGTTTGTAATACTCTAAAGTCCAATCAATAAGTATAATTATATATGATAAAATTAAGTATCTTCACACATATATATATAGAGATATATCAAAAAAAGTTTAATCAAAAAGAACTTTTAAATTCCTTTGTCTTTTAATTTTCTTCCTTACATCCATTACAAAACTTTCGAATATCATCTCTCTTTATTTCAGTCTAACTGTCAATTTTGAATTCTTATTAATAAATTTACTCTTCTTATTAAAACAACTTCTCAATAGTAGTTTCACCCTAATCATTTAAAATTTAATTCATATAGGTTTTATATATTTTGAATTATGGAGCTTCACATGATGAAATTCTTATTTCAACTAAAGTAGTCTTACTACCATATTCTCTTAAGAAACTTTTAATTGCAAAAAGCATAACTGAAGCTAATTTACTTCTTGCAATTTGATTAATTTGTTAATCCATCAATGAAAAAGCAATTGATTTAGCTCCCAATTCTGTAGCTTTTTCTAAACAATTAACTATAGCTTCATAAACAATTTAAATTTCTCTAGACTATGTAGAATCCATTTTTCTCTTCTCAGCATATGCTGTTATAGAATTTACCCTGAAGTTCTCCTCAAGTGAACACACCATCTCTTATTCAAATGATTCATTCAAAACAATTATTGATGCATCAGTAGAACTAGGCAATACAGTAAAAAATAAATAATCATATGGCATCTAAAATCATTATACAATATAATACTTCTCCAGCATGTGTATGTACAACTGATCCTAATTATACTTTTCCTCCTTAGCTCAATAGAATTTGATGCAATTCATTCAATATTTAATCACTAGCAAATTTTCTGTTAAATTAATCACATAAACTACTTAATGTGTTCTGATGCCTAATAATTAAGTTTCAATTTTTAAGTTGTAGGTAATACAATTATGTCTACTAATTCATTAAATAATTTTCCTAAGCTTAAAACTACTCTACAGCCATTTAAATCTGTTGATTAAATAATCTATGCTTGAGGCCTTCCATCTAATCTACAAATCTAAGATTGGAATTCTGCTTAAGTGGAACAACAAATAGACTTATTTCCCATTATATATATTATATATAATATATTTAATTATCTCTCTCATATCATTTTTTTAATTCATCCATTAATTTATTTTTAATTGCCTAAGCCATTTTACTGACATCTTTCACTCCTCCATTATCTTTTAAATCTATGTTGGTAACCACTGTCTTCCATCCTTATTCTTATTAAACCTTTTCTTTGACAATAGCTCTATTCTATATTTTTCTTTAGTTTGCTATTTCTGCAAAATCACTATAATCACATTAATTTACTTATGTTACCTCATGAACTTTTTTAAATATTCTTAAGCTTATTTTCTTTTCTATTCTTTTTGTTTTCTTTCAATTTCCTAAATTAAATTTATAAAATTCATATACATCCTTTTGCATTTACTAATTTATATTTGCATTTTGTTTATTGACTTAATTTTCAGTAATTATATCATCAAATGCATTAAAAGTAGTCTAACTTTACATATTAATTTAAGGTTCTGTACTTTTAACACTTTCTTAATCAAATATGAACTCCTCATAATTACCCTAAATTAAATTTTATTATCCTTAAGATTAATTCTAATTAGTTGACTTGAGTTAAGTCTCCAAATAAACTCTATTTTCATCAGATAATTATTATAAATTCTTAACATTCTCTTTACCCATTAAAAAGTCTAATTCTAATCCATTGACTTTCTAATCTGCACTTCCTAAAATGATTTTCTTAGTGCATGATCCACCATAAGTAGTAGAAATAGGAACTGGACATTATCCAGGGTCTTCAAGACCTTCAATTGATTTACTTACTAAATTAAATTAAGAAGGATGTAGGAGAGTCCAATTACTAATTTCAGCATTAGGAGTGAAATCAAAAACTTCACTCCATTTATTATTTGTAGGATCTAACTTGGCTTTTTCAAAATCATCTTTAATGCCAGGATAAGCAAAATTATATGGAGCAAATGTAATGCCTGTTGATTTTTCAAGTGCTGGATCACTTGAAGTGTAGACAAAACATTAGATGCTAAATAATATATATTAATGATTAAGTACTTATTTGAATTTGAGACTCTAAATTAACTAGATGCTGCACTTATTTAAATATTTTCACATTTTCTAACAAATATAGATCCTTCAACTGGTCCAATGTAGATTTTACAATTCTTACTCAAATCCACAAAAATTTATGCAGCATGATCACAAATGTATATAGTACACTCTTCACAATTAGAGATTACAAAGTCTAATCCATTTAATTATCCAGGATATTTAATCAATTCTTACCCTGTTTTCTTTCGAAATTAATAATCCTCCCTATTTAATTTAGCTTTCATTTCAACAACAAATTCTTAAATATATATATATAAATTAAATCATATTTTATACTAAATGATTTATTCTTGCTTCTTTGAATCCTCATTCGCTCTCTTTGGATAATGATATTCTATTCCTCCTTATTATAATTAGACATTTGAATATTGTATAGATAATTTAAATGAAATCAATAGAAAAATATCCTAATTTTTAAGAAGTAGTTAGGATGAATTGATTTGAATAAATAATGATTGATCATATATAATTTAGGTAAATCTAATTATAACATGATATAAATATTATAATCTATTTAATTTATAGTTTTTCCTAAATTTCAATTTTAGTATTATATTAGGATAATCTTAATGTTTTTATATCATTACTCATATTTATAATTAGGGATTTATAAATTCTAAATGAATGAAAATTATATTATTTATTTTGATCTTGTTTTAAATACTCTGTATTAATATAATTGGTTAATTGATATTTATGGTTCTTTTGGAGTATTATAATTTTTTTGTATAATATATATAATTGAAGTAATGTGAAGTAGTACTATGGATGTGTTATATTATTCATCAACGATTTAATTTAAATAAATTCAAAATGAACGAAAGTTTAATGAACCCAGAGGATTGTTATCGTCTAGAATGTGTAATTGGTGAAGGATCATATGGTCAAGTGTATAAGGCTACTCAATTAGAGAATGGAAAGGTTGTTGCTATAAAAATAGTTCCAACAACAGGTGAAATAGAATCATTGAAAAGAGAAATTCAAATACTGAGGGATTGTAGAAGTGATAATATAGTTAAATACTTTGGATCATATCATTCAAATGGATAATTGTGGTTAGTGATGGAATATTGTGCAGGAGGAAGTGTAATAGATTTAGTTAAAGCGATGAGTTTTAATGGTTCTTCTTTACCTGAAGAGTTAATAGCCACTATTCTATATCAAACACTCAAAGGTACATTATTATATAATGTAAATAATAGGAATTGATTACATGCATAATCATAAGAAAATTCATAGAGATATAAAATGTGGAAATATTCTGATAGATCATATTGGCAATATTAAATTGGCTGATTTTGGAGTATCAACTTAATTAGTACACACTATGGCTGATACAGATACAGTTATTGGTAGTCCTTTTTGGATGTCTCCTGAGATTCTCTTAAAGTCTCGTTATAATAAGAAAACTGATATATGGTCATTAGGTATTACTGCAATAGAAATGGCTGAAGGAGAACCACCTTATGCTCATATTCATCCAATTAGAGCTATGTTTGCAATAAAAAATAATCCACCAAATTCTTTGACTGATTAAAATAAATGGTCTAAAGAATTTAATACTTTTGTTAAGAAGTGTTTAATCTTAGATCCAAAAGAGAGACCATCCACTAAAGAATTGCTACAAGATCCATTCTTTTAAAAATTCTGCAAAAGTAGAGAGTATGTTCAATAGTTTATGATAAAGAATTCAAGAGTGATTGAAAATTATAAAAAATAAAAATAGAATAAACAACATGAATAACAATTTGAATAATCTTAAGAAAAAGGAATAGTATAATTAGATACTCTAGTTGAATGTGAAGAAGAGGAGGATTTAGGAACTATGATAGTTAATGATATTGATGCAATACCTATGAATGAAACTGGAACTATGTTAGAACATCAATATTAAGATGCTGAAGTTTATGAAAAAGCTATGAATAGAGTGGTATAACTAAAAACTTAATTTATAGTCTGAATATGGTTTATAAAGTCTAAATTAAATGAGAACACCTGTTACAGAATCTCCTTTTAGAAAATAAAAGTAAATAGAAGATAAAATTTAATAATTAACTGATGAAATGAATAATGAAATTAAAAAGATTAAACAAAAATATGGTGATCAAATATAATCCTTATAAAAACTTTTACAACAAAAACATGAATCACATAAATCAGTTCATGAATAAAAATTAATCCCATAATCAACTAATTACTATAGATAATTAGATTTTAAACATAAAACTTCTGCTCCTTCTACTCCTGTTTAAATGTAAACAAAGTAGAAGTCTCAATAAGAAAATATCAATTTGGAAAATCAATTGAAACCAACTAAATTTTAATAAACCAATTTACAGTATAACTTTTTAATATATATACTAGAAAATTACAATTATAAATATAGAACAGAATACATGATGCACCTAAACCAGATAATAATTCCAAAATACTAAAACAATTAATTAACAGAAAGAATTGAATTCATTTATCAAGCTTTCCTATTTCAAATTGAAATCTCAAAAATATTCTTCAATCTCTTCCAATAATTCTTACTCTTCTTCACTACTTTCTTATTGTTCCTCATCTGATTCCGATGTTATACATTCAAATCCCTCTTGTCCTTTCTCTTCAAAGAAATTCTCCTTCACCAAATATCTTATCGCTTACAAAATATATTGTCTTTCTCTATATATTTCTCCAATCAACATATTTGTATACAAAGTGTTACTTTTATATCTAAAATTTGCAGGATTTACTCTGTAATTTAATGATTCCTCTAATAAATTTTCCCTATTGTAATAAATACAAAGGTTACATCTTCTCTTGTTATTCTTCTAAATTGCCAATCATCTCTTTAGTATGATCTTCTAAAGTCTATGTATGTTCTTGTCTTTTGACTTATTACTATTATTATTATTCTTGAATTTATTCAACTTCTGGATTTAATTGTTTTAATTATAATTTAAGATCCTTAATTTTCTTTTTGATTATTTACTTTTCCATCTTTGTTAACTATTATTATTCTCCTCCTTCTTTAATTTTCTTATAAAATTCTTTTGGTCTATTATCCTAAAGTTTTTTTTATAATTTATTGATTTCTTTTTAAATAGTTTCTTTATCATCTAATTTTTTATCTTCTTCTTATCGATTACTCACTTCTGAATCAGAACTTTCTTATGGTTCATTATTTAATTTCTTCTTAATTCTTTTTGATTCAGTCAGTACTTTACAAAGTTCTTTCATTTATTTTGCTTTAATTTATGTTCTTCTACAACTTCCACTTAAAATAGAAATTTTCTTTCTTAATTTTTATTCTAAAATAGAAAGTTCTTATGCATTTTCATCCAATATAGGTCTATCTTTATTAGGATATCTCTTTCTTCTCTATTCTAACCATTTTTTGATTTCATCAGGTGCATCTAAAATAGGGTCTTTCTTAATAATAGGAGGTCTATGTTTTGGTATTAATTTTTCAGGAGAAGACAAATCAATATTGAGATTTGGTATGAAATCTGGTAACTTGTAAATTATCTGAGTATTAATAGTAAACATGTTTTTATTTGTTCACAAATTAATTTTATAATAACCAATAAATTATTGAATTATAAGAGATTGATAAAAGTTAAGTTAAAATAATGAGAAATATTAAAGCCATGAATTATTTCTGCTTTATAGTATAATCAATCAAACAAAAAATCTTGTATTATAATTGAATCCACCTTCATTATAATCATAATATAAAACTTCTCCTGTCCTAATCTCTCTACAAGCATATAAAATTACTCTAGATTCTCCTTCAACATTAAATCTTTAGGATTTTACATTTTATTATTATTTTTTACTATTTTTTTTGGTGTTATTAATCCCTGATAAATATTTAGCAAGATTTCCATATTTTTAAGGTATAATCACTAAAGATGTAGCAGCAAAATTAGTTTCAAGTAAACTCATCATTGAATCAGATGTACTATACACTTAATCAGCAAATCGAAACACTTCTCCTGCATATTCACATATCAATGTATTATTGGCAATTGGTTAAACTGCTTTTACATAAAATCCCTAATCTATATTATATTCCACTATCACAGGAGCATAATAACCATGTTTAGTTACTTATTTATACTTTTTAAATGTCTCAAGATCTTTTCCTATTAATGGTTCCAATTTTTCATAACAAACATTATTCTCTATTTTCTATACTGATTCATACACTAAATCATCATTAAAACAAATATTTTGACAATAGAGTGCATATTAAATAGAATTGAAACACTTTTCACGTAGACTATCATCATATATGCAACATGGTAAAATGAAAGACTTTTGCTTTTTTAATGAAATTTTGAGTGGTAGGAATTAAACTAAATTTTTATTTTATTTTATTTTTGGTGGTTTTGATTGCTCACAGAATATACATATAGGTGATACTTTTTTTAGACCATAACACTTGCTATGAAATACTTTTGAACATTTAGAACAAAATTCTTCATCATCACTCTATACATGCTTTTAACATCTTCCACATAAAGTATCTATTTCCAAATCATTTGTATCTGGAAATGTATTCTTTAACTCAAGACAACGTGTACATGTCCATTTTTTTGGTTTCCTAGTCAATTTAGGTCTCTAAAATATTATATGAAATTATTACCATACAAAACAAATGATATACATCTTCACATATTCCACATCTTATTGATTTTTATCTTATTATCCAAGATTTGCATTCAGCACATACTTTATTTTTTTTAAACTTTTATAATTCTAACTTCTTATCTTCTTATGGATTAAATATTGAAATTGGTTAAGTGTTGCTTTACTCTTTGATACTCTAAGTACTCATTATAAATATTATTAATTATTATGCACATAAATTTTGTGCTATTTAATGATACAACTTTTATGGACACAAAGAGAAAGGCCATAAAATTTATTAATTTTATTTTTTGCCTACAATTATATTGAAATCAGATATAAATTATAATTCAAAACATTGTTTAATATTTCATTTTTACTAATCTACTCAGTAATTATTAATTCATTCTTTAGACTTTAATCAAAATTATCAATTACAAAAAATATTTCAACCTAAATTATGAATTTAAATCAACTACTATAAAATTTCTATAACTACTAAGATCTTTATATACTCTTATTATTCAAATCTTTATTTCTTTTAATTTCTCAATAAATACTTAATCAAATAAAAACTTTCTTTAATTTTAAAATTAAATATCAATAATTTTTAACGTTAATATAAATACATATTTTATGTAAAACTTAAATAAATATATATAAATTTTTGATCATTTAATTATTAAAAATAATTTTAAATACAATTCTAGTCAAATACACTAATAAAAACTTATTATGATTTTTGCACGGTTAAACTGAAAGATTTCCCCCAATTACTATATATTTGATTATAGTTGTACTTGAAATAAACTAAAAGAACATAAGAATTAACCAAGGCTTTTTTATACATAGAGTTCATGTGAGTCTGGTTCAATTCAGAGAAGAATCGATTATTTACAATTTTATAATTAATAAAATAATTTTAATTTCAAATTATATTCATCTATTATTGATATACTCTCATTTAGAAATCTAGATTTATTAATAAAACATAAAAGGATTTAAATAGTAAAGTAAAATTAAAATATTTTTTTGTAGTTTAATTTTAAATAGATCACTAATAAGGGGCTATAGTTGAAAATATTTTAAATTTAAATAAAAAGAATGTTCATCTACATTTTGTTTTACATGGAATAAATGATATATTTCTTGTAATCCTCAATAATATAAAAAATGATTGATAAATTTTATGTTGACAAATTGATAAGAATAAATGTTAAGTTTTATTGAATTTATATAAATATTTGATAATTACAATCACAACTCCATTTCTTGCATTTCGATTTAGTTAATTTTTCTTAAAAAGTCTCCATCAATATCTGCTTTACATAATTTATATAGCAAAGGCAATAGTGTTATCAAAAATATGGAGAAATATAATTCTAAAAATAATTAACCAATTATTAAATATGTAATATTGATGTTCATATCGTTATTCATTACTACTTATCTTATCAAAATGTGAATAGCTATTTATGATATGAGTAGACCAAAAAGTATCAAAACTCTAACAAAACCTTTTAATGTAAATGTTTAATGATTGTATTATTCAGGTTTATATTAGCCTGGAGTAAAATAACAGCATAAGTAAAGATAGAAGGGTAAAAAGATAATACATGTTCCAACCATTTCCTGTTTTTCAAATGACATATTGAAACGATAAAATTATTTTTCACATTTTGAATGTCCTTTAAAAACTTGACCCCATTCTTATTATTACTCAATCAATTCTGTATCATTAGTTCTAATAATATATAGTAAAATTGAAATTAATAATGGAAATGTTAAACAAAGAGCCAATTTCCCTAAATGACGAAGTTTATTATTAATTTAATCTTATTGATTATAGATTGCATATTAAAATAATCTTTCTATTAATTTTTCGAATTCACAATAATAATATATATATAGTATATATCCACCTATAATCCATCCCATTATTACCTAACTTAGATAATTCAAGCCAAAATATGAATTGGATATACCTGTAATAAATAAAAAGGAAGCCAACATAAATTTATACTAATTATAACTAAACATTGAATTTGGATAGAGTTAAGTATAAAGATCATTACTTTTAAAATATAAAAATTATAATACTTTGACAATTGCTTATATTGATATTGTAGTTTTCTATCTTAATTAATTGAACTAAGAACACCTAAATCATTTGGCTAAACTTTATATTTTTTAAATAATAAAGTTTCTGATACAATTACATAAAAAACAATAGATTTTAAAGCATTATCACTAGGATCTCCATAACCTTTTTAACAAAAATCTAATCGAACATCAGATTCTTCATAAAAAGGTCTAGGTTAAACTAAAATCAATTTAATAAAATGGCCAAGAAAAGCAGTAATCGAATATATAGTTATTAATTTTAAGATTTACTCTTTCCATCCTGATTTCAACCAAAGAATTATAAATAATAATCCCATAAATTATCGACCTCCTAAAACATAAAATATAAGTAAGAAACTTTCTAATTATAATTTATCTATTCTATTTTACCTACTAATCCATTTTCATCTCCATAATCAAATTACTATTACATATATTCTGTGATTGAATCACTTAAATCAAATGTCATCTATCCATATGTATAATCAAGGAATATTAAAATACACAACAAAAAAGTTGAAAGTATTAATTTCTACATTATGTATTTTTATTTATTAATATAAAATATAAAAACAATCAATCTAATTTAAGTTTTGAGTATGATTTCAAAGGAATTGGAATATTTACAACTGCTTAAGTTGCAAAAACTTTATTTTGTACAACAAATTCTAAAATCATTTAACCAAAAAACCAAAATATTAAGAAAATTGACAAATA